GTTTCATATTATTAAGATACTTTGGATAAGAGGAAATAAAATCAAATCCCAATTTGGAAACGTAACATGGAACATATGTATTGGAATTTAAATAGTCAAAAACCATAAACAAATAATAGTTTGTGAACCAAAATTAAAATAATCTTATCTTGGTTATAAAATTATGTTTACCTATTCCTGGCTTTTCATTCTCGTCTCATAAATATTTGAGATTAGAGTAGCTGAAAACAAAAGAAAACAAAATTAAGATCATAGGTTCTAGGGCCCAGAATGTTGTTAGAAAGATCAACAGCAGAGATTTGGATTTTGGCGGACTAAGTTCAACATCCTCGATAGTATAGTGGTTAGTATCCCCGCCTGTCACGCGGGAGACCGGGGTTCAATTCCCCGTCGGGGAGAGGTGTGAAAACATTTTTTTTTTCTAAACCAGGAATTATCAAGGAGTTCTTCTACGGATTTCTCTTATTTATTTATATGTAAGCAAATATTTTATTACAAAAAGAATAGTTTTACCTGCCTTAAAAATCTTTTTTGAAACTGACAACCTGCTTTGATACCGGAAACTCTAAAGTAAGAAGCAAGCATGTAAGAAACAGTTTAAAAACAAATTATGTAGATATAATTTTTTAATTTAAAATATAATTTTAAAAAAAGAAATGTTTGAACATTCTCCCCGACGGGGAATTGAACCCCGGTCTCCCGCGTGACAGGCGGGGATACTAACCACTATACTATCGAGGACGGTGAATGACGCACGCCAAATGCAATTGTCGTTAGATTCCATTTGGGTTCTGTCTTTAGGACGTTAAGCTTAGTGAATTGGAAAAAATATCTACGAGAATATGCAGCCGATAACAACATCTAGTTTTTCATTCGTTGTTATTATCGTCGAATACCAAACACGAAAACAGAATTTTAAACCCCTATCAAAATAACCTTATCACGATTGTAAAAACATGTTTACCTATTTGTTGATTTCTAAACTCATCTCATAAATATTTGAGAACCCTCGGCATAAAAAAATTGAAGATCTTAGAAGTGTCATAAAGATCAACAGCAAAGCGATATTTTGAAATTGACGGACGTAATTTAACATCCTCGATAGTATAGTGGTTAGTATCCCCGCCTGTCACGCGGGAGACCGGGGTTCAATTCCCCGTCGGGGAGAGATGTGTAAAAACATTTTTTTTTGGGCTTAGGGTTTTGTTTAATGGATTAGGCTTAGCTGGTATCCATTTTATTCTTAAGCAAATTTTTCCTTCTTCATCCTAGCAAACAAATCGGTTCTTAATTTACTTACCTTACAATTTATTTTGGGAAAAAATCCGTTATATATTAAAAAAATTTTAAATTGAAATACAGTTAAATAAAAATTAATGTAGCCATTGATAAAAAGAAATGCTCTCACATTCTCCCCGACGGGGAATTGAACCCCGGTCTCCCGCGTGACAGGCGGGGATACTAACCACTATACTATCGAGGACGGTGTGCGACGCTCGCCAAATGCGGCATACGATTCTCGTTAGATTCAAAATGTGTTCTGCCTGCGAATACCTTCCCTTTGGAGTTTCGCTTGGCATTAAGTTTTGTTCAAAAATATCTATATACAGCCGATATGCTGCATCACCCTCGAAAGGTGTTAATGGGGGGAATACTTAATGCGTTTACAAATTATGTTTGACGCGGTTGAACTCGCAATCTGGCAGAGGAGTATCTGTGTGCTTCACAACTAAATGTGTGTGGGTAGATTTATGCCCAGCACTGCGTGTAATTATAATTTATCGTTGTTGAAATTCCATAAAACTTTAACACCTCTCACCTTGGGCCTGTGAAGTGCAACAGCGGAGAGCAGAGGAAAAGAAGAACCGAGACGAACCTGAGATAGAATCGAAAATGAGTTACGGCCTGGTTAATTGCACTTCAGTTTTTGATGAAGAGGATTTTGTGGTGTTAATGAAGAGCTGCCAGGTTGCCAGACTGATCTGGTTTTGGGCTTCTCGTTTTAGTGTGTATCTATCAGATTTAATTCATTGCAAAAGTGTGCAAGAATGGAACGAATTCCAAGCATTTTTCTTTATGTTGCTGACAACATAAAAATGTCTTTGGTTTATTTTTGAACACACACCCAAAAACACAGGCGCACAATAAAGTGTCGCCCACGTTGACACAAATTTCTGGTACAATACGAAAATTTCCATGCTGCCACAGACTGGTATCCGTGAGGTGCCTGGTCAGAGCTACCGGCCAAGAAAAGAACGAAATGAAGAAAAAGAACGAGAACAATCGGGCAGCATTTCCTGACTTTGATTTAGGACCCAGCCACACTCCAAGTGACATCTTGGACCTTTTCGAAGACCTTCGGCTTTTGTCTGATTTCTGGTGATTTCGTTGATTGGGAGCCTGTTGCGCACATCTGTTGGCCATGTTGCAGTGACCCGAGGGTTTTCTGTGTATCTAATGCTCGCTTCTAACAATAATTCCGAAAGATACAGCCTCAGATTCAGATTCGTTACAGATACAGATACATTCGGCCCGCCAGTTTGTCTGGCCTTTTCCCAGGGAGTGTCGGCCCGTTTTGTGTTTATTGTATGGATCCGAGTAGTGTTCCCCCGCCCACCTCTTCCTTTTCACACGAAATACTCGAAAATCCAACATGGATTTTCTATTGTATAGAGCCCAAAATAAATACGTATGCATGTATGGCTAGAATCAACCTTTAGCCCCCGCATCGCCTCTCAAACGCTGGTGCAAACAAATTAAAGAGTACAGTGCAGTGCTAATGAAACGAACAAACCGAAGTCTCTCGACCAAAGGCTTTTTAGCAAAGGTGCTAATTTGGCATTGCAGCAAATCCTCGCGTTCCCCTAATGCGATAATTAGCACGGATAGCTCAGAAATTTCGCGCTAGAGGTACTTTCAGAATTCTGACTCTAATCAATTGGGATTCGCAAAAGTCATGGACTCTGCACATTCCACTTTACTGCCAACTGTCCATTTCTCAAGCGTGGCAGACCAGAAAAAATATAACGATTTATAATTTCAAATAACTGGCTGCTCACCTGTAAAAAGATCTTAATATCTTTATCATATTTTTTCTTGAAACGTATTTCAACCATTAAACCTGATTATTCGTGAATCATGCCCTTACATATTCAGTTCAATTAGCTTTTTATTATTTCGTAAAATTCCTGGAACCATATAGCTTAAATTTATAGCCAATATGTGCCTAAAAATACTTGTATCTTTATTTATTTAATGCTTATCTGCAAAGAAGGAAAGAAAACAAGATAATATTCTTATAAAAAGCACGATTTTGTTTAATAAAAATAAAAACAGAAAATCATAGCATATATAAGCTAACAGATAGGTAAGCTACTTAAAGATGAACCCTTTAGCAGCACTCTTTTAATGCCTTTACCAAATTAAATTTAAATAGTATGCTGCTACCCATTTAAGTCAATTGATCGTATCCCCAGATTCAACTTGATTTTCTGGCTCCTCTTGAACAGTTGCCCTCTGGCCGTTTTTCGAACCAAGTCCCTTCGGAAGACTCCTTCTCTGTCGCTCCCATTTGGCCGTCTCGGCTCCCTTCTCCCTTGCTCCGATTCTCGATTCTCCGGTGCAGCCTCTCAGCGTCTGGCTGTGCACCGCATGACTCCTACACTTGAGAAATCACACCTCGGAGGCACCACCACCAGCAGCAGCCACATCCACAATCCACATCCACAATCCGGGCATTTAGGGAGCCGGAGCTGGGGGCATCATCCTCCGATTTTGACTAGACAAAAGCAGAGCAGACCCCGAACCAGATCGAAATGAATTATGGCCGCGGGCGTGATAATAAACGAAAGATCAGCACTGCGATCGGAGTGGAAATGCACGAAAAGAAATTTTTATTAATAAAAAACAAATATAAAATCCTACAATATGATCAGTTTAACATGTTTTGTATTTCCAAAAGATAAGTTTGTTGAAAATTAGAAGATAACACTAAATTTTCTGTACAAATGTTGAGGGAAAGCAACATACAATTTTCTGTTACAATTTTTTAATCTTTTTAAGTGGCGACTGACAAGTTTGTTACATTTTTTGTGAGAAAGCTGAAAGATATGGCTATCGAGGTGGATGTTAAAGTTCGGGGACCGCTGATTCTGGCGGGTGTTATCGCGGGTCATAAACCAAATGAGCAAGTTATGCGCGGATCACAGAGGTCGTCTTCGTGGTCGTACAAATGCATTTTTAATGCCAGGAGTTACCTGGAGAAAGCCGAAGTGCTAAGTGCTGCTGATTTCCGACAGGTAGAAGAATAGGAAACCTCAGAGTCTAGGCCATAATTAGCAGCGACTACTGTGTGGCTAATGAGTCCCCGAAGAGGTTGACTGGAAAAATGATATCTCTCGGATGCAATTGGCGACGGTATCCCATGGATGCGCTCGGGAGAACAGAAGGCGGCAAAACTATTAGTTGGCAATGGTGTTGCTGCTAATCACACGTTTGCCCGCAAACAAATTCGACCAAAACTGTTATTATTTCTGGCTGCACCCGACATATGTGCATGCAAAAGGGCCCCTGCAATTATGCTGGCAGTTCTTTCCCCCCCGTTCGTCTTCTTGCGCCGATTCTCCCGATATTCCTTCTATATTCCCCATCTAGATATGTCAGTTATAATAAGCAGCTAAAGAAATACGAGCACGAACAACAATAACAACAAAAACAAAAACAACGATGCTAACTCAAAGATCAAGATACACACGCACACACCTTTACACGAAAAAAACTTGAAATTCAAGTGAGAGCATGCGGGCAAAACAAGAACAAACGTTTGCCAAGAGAGAGTAAAGAGAGAGCGGAGAGTATAAAAAAATAGTATCTTTGGGTTTCGGGCGATTTTAACCGCCTGCTGGCAGCACACTCGCGCGGTTTTAAACGCCCTACTCTCTCTTGTTGGTTTTCCTCTCTCTTTTCCGAATCTCTTGGCTCGGCGGTGTTTCTGCCTGTTGCACATTCGCAGATACAGATACGTTCTCCGCGAGTCATGACGTATCCAGCGGATTGTTGAAATATACCTTATTTTTTGAGATACAATCCAGAAATCGCCGAGTTCGTTTACGCGTGTCTCACTGAAAAACAAATATTTTTGAGTTATCACAAAAAAAAATTAAATACCTGTGCTCAAGCAAGAATATTGTAAACTACAAAAACCCAAAATAAAAGTGTTCAAAAGGCAAATATTTGATGAAAGATTTGTATTAGAAAAAATCAGCAATATTTTTAGTGTCAGTGATAACAATCAAAGAAGTGTAAACACAACCAGAAAACTAACTACAACACAGGATATTCCACGACGGGCGATTGAGTTTCACCTGATTTGTATTGCCACCTTTCGTATATAATTATAATCAACGTGATCACGCGCTCACACCAGGAAAAAAGGAGAAAAAAACAAGAGACAAACCAACCGACAGGATCAAGTTTTTGGCGAAACCCATAATTTCGCCCATCTCTCTCTCGCTGCTTCTTCTTCTACGCGGGGCTCCATGGTGTCGCCGGCTTGACCGCCTGCCTATAAACAAACCAACCCAAGACTCCAAGACCCCGACTCCAAAAAAAAAGAAGAAAGAAAACCCAGAAAGACTCCGAGATACAACGAATCCAGTTCTCCTGGTGCTTTTGTTTTGCTTTTGTTGGAGCTTCGCGTTTATTGTTTTGCTGCAAGAACGAGGGGAAAGGAGGGGGAACTGGCCCCAAACACCCGGGATCCCGGCCATATAGGAAGGCCAGCACAAAAACAACAATAACAAGAACTTGGAGCAGTCAGAACGATCGCTCGAAGCAGCAACAACAACTAAGTTGCATTGCAGCCGCCGTCGTATAAAAATCATCAAGCGTTGTTGCTGCCGCGCCGTTTGGCCCACGTCGTTGTTGTTATTGTTGTTGTTGTAGCCATCAGACATGGCGCCGAAATCCAGAAAGAAGAAGGCTCATGGTAAATATTAATATAACATTTCTTTGCTTTTTTCTCTCGTGCACCTTGAAACGGGGGAAAAACAATTGTCCGGGGGCCAATTGGGTATATTGGTTGGGGGAAACTCGAGTGGTATTCGCAATAATCTATTAGATCAGTTATAGGAATTTTATATAACTATTTAACATGATTTATCATCAAGGAAAATATTAAATGTACTTAAAATCCCACTAAAAATACGACAATGACAGCCCATTTCCTTAAGACTTTAATTTTCCTACGCAGAAAAAAGTCCAAAACAAAATCAGTTTGATAAGGTCTGCTCAATTTTAAAATATTTATTATCACATCATGTTAGAATGACACAGATAAGAGTTTTTGTGATAGATAAAAATGCCAAGCTGATAAACAATTTACGTGTCATTTTGTTTTTGTCTACAAAGTATTTATAGATATGCTAATTGAATGTAGAAGTTTAACCAATAAAATCACAAACTTGGTTATTTGCTTTGCGTGAATATGAAACTTAAAATAGAAATGTGATTCGGAACTGTTTACAGTATTCATTACGATTTCTCCACATCCCAATAACTACCGTCAGAATACTTTACGAAAAGATCTTCTAACTTTACCATTAAACAAAAACCAACCAGATTTTTGATCATGATCCTCAGACTTGTAAAAACTTATTTAGTTAAACTTACCAGTTATCCTCACCTAAATAAAGTTTTTATTTAGTTCTTTCCTCGAAAAAGATGAGTATTTGCAATTCCATTGGTTTTTACAACTGCGAGTCCACTTGGGAATCGGCTTTTAGTCGACTATTAGCCATTTATAGCTTGAGTTGCGATTCCCTGGGAGATTTCCCCGAAGCTTTCACTGCGGCTCAGACTTGTCGCTTATCGGCCAGTGGATCGGCGGACATGGCCAACTAGCAGTGCCATTAATCATCGGCGAGATCATGGTCTCATAAGTATGCAGTGCTCATATTACAAATCTCCGGCATATCCTGTTGGCCTCTCGCCGTGGCCCTTCTTCCACTTCCCCCGCCCGAATTCAATTGAAATTCGTTTTCTAATTGCGTTTCGTTGTTCGGCCGAGGAGGCTCTATGCCAAGTGTGTCTGGGATCGGGACTCCTGACCAGCCCAAGGAGATTCCATCGGCTTAAAATATGCGACGTTTCTCCGTTTCTCTCCGGAGTTGTGCATGTTTTTCTTAATTTTTTATGACCCTGAGCAGGTAGAACCAAACCAACCCGAGAACCAAAAAGATTGAAAAACGAACAAATAATACGAAGAGGAACAGAGAACCACAATCCGGGCACCCCTTACTGAAGGAGTGGATACCCAAAAAAAAAAAAAAAAATTATATATACTGAAAAGGGAGAGAAAAAGATCAGCTGTCAATTTTATGGGTTCCCCCTGCTCTCCATCGAATTTCTGGGGTGTTGTACGCACATATTTTATGCCTTTTTGTGTGCCCAACTCTGTTGTCATTTCATTTCATTTCATTTGCTTAGATTATTTTGATATGCATCTGAGCATTTGATTTGGGCTTAGACAACCAAATGAATTTTACGACCGCGCGTGGTGGATACACACCGATATAATCCCCTTTCATCCACTAAGAGCATAGCATTTGGTTGATCTTTTAATAGCTTCGATAATATTTAAATACAGTGGACACTAAGTCTTGTGCATCTGAAAAGGCTATATTTTGCAAAGTTATAAAATTAAAACCATTTAATAAATACTATTTAAAGTAATCAAACTGAAGTAAAGAATTTAAAAGTAAAACTGCACATTGAAAACATGATATTCCAGATCGTAAAAAAATGGTTAGCTTCAGAAAAAAACAAGTTAAAGCAATCAAGCTGGAGTAAAGAATTTTTAAATGTTATGGCCTGTGAAATGACTTTTTATTAATTAATAATTTTAAACATATTTATGTCGATTCTGTATAGTGTGTTTCCATTTATTCTTGCGTTTATATACGCCTTTCAGTTGTTTGGGCATCCGTCCAGGTGCAGATTTCTTTGCTCATTTGATTTGCTTCTCAGTCTGGGTCTCTTAATAATAAATTCGCCACGGGGAGCCGCCGTCCCCTTGGTTGTTCCTTGTCCTCTTGGTCAGTTGGTTGCGCCCATGACAAATCGCAACAAATGCCAAACAACAGACAACAGATAAAATCCCTCGCAAGCGCAACAAATAAGAAAAACACCTTTTGATGTGGGCATTGTAGTTCGAAAGACAAAGCGACAGACACGCCCACGCCGTCGAGTTTTCCCCGAAAAACCTTTCAAGGAAAGTCGCCGACTGATTGAAACGGTAAGCTTCGGTGGACAGAGACCCAGTTTTATGAACTTAAAGCCAAGTGCAGACCTGTCATGATTTCCAATGGGCAGTATTGCGATGGAATCGAGGTACTCAAAATGTTCCGTGGAATCGGATCGGAATTGGAATCGGAATCACCTAACCAACAAATTGTGCTTTCCAACTGATAAAGGCATTCTATGCTGATAAGACCGTGGAAGTGTGCGTCTGGGGGGTAGTAAATATAGTGAATACCGACCGATTCCCAGGTATATGACCGACCGACCGTTCGACAGGCCGCCGTTTTGGGTCCAGGTTCGGTAGTTTCCCGACTTCGCAGCTAATCTTATCAATTTTGTCGTCTGCCGCCCGTTCGGCCGTTCGCGTAAACAAACAAAAATAGTTATAATAATAATAATAAACCAAATAAATAGTATAGACGTCGAGTACATAAGCGCACGTTTCGTTTTACGACGAGCGTGTGGCTGCATTTTGAGAGCGTTTTCCTAGCGTTTTTCGCCGCCTCAGCGCATAATAAATTGATTTTTTTCAAAGATCTGCGAGACCAAACATTCACCGGAGTACTTGTGTTGAACATATATTTTTGTTTTATTTATTTGCTGCGAACAGCACTTTTCACACATTTCCTCAGCGAAATTGTATTTTTAATTCAGCTTTAAATGCCAACCTGTCGATTTTCCCCGCGGCCAAATGAACACGCAAAGGGGGTCATTGATTTCTCGGGCTTTCCGACCGATGCGTTCTGACCGATCAGCACAAAAACCCCGACTAGACGATCGTCGCGTCTTCAGACGGAACAAGGCGACACGGCCAATATGGCCATATTCTCAGCTCAGCTCATCTCGGCTACGTGGATTCGTTTCAAGTCAGGCATTCACTCTGGCATTGAGTTGAACGGCAGCACTCATGATCTGCAATTTGAATACAATAATTACAGTGAAATGCTGCCCATTAAGATGCGCTTATCGGATGCGAGATAAACGAATTATTCTCGGAATTGCAAATAAAACCGGATTTACCCCGGCGAGCCAAGCGTTAGAGTACAATAGCTTGCCACTTGTGGCTGTACTTCCTTTATTGAGGGAATTTACTTAATAGGGTGAAGCGTGAAATTTCAGATTTGTTCTGAGAAAGTTGCATAACAAAGTAAAAGCTTGATTCTCTAAGAAAACGAGGGAAATTCTAAACTAATAGATCTTCTGATTTAGATATAAAGATAAATAGCTAGCAAAACGTTTATAAATACTTAATTAAATTTTCAGAGATCCTCAACTATATTTTTTAGTTGTAGTTCACCCCTTTCTGTCATTCTGAGTTGTCGACTACATTATTATAGCATTAATTCTTAATCAAATAACATATCACCACTCAATTGAGATATGTTTGTTTAGCGTCGTCTTGCCTTTGGTGTTCTGTTGCCATTCGAGTGCAGCGTCCGCATATCCTGTTTTGTTTTTGATTTTTTCTCAAGGCAGCGTGGATCATCCGATGCGATCTGTCGCCAGCGTGTGGAGCACACATGTGTGAAAATGAGGACCGAGGCGAGGTCTTCTGGTACCTCCATCCATCCGTCCATCCGTCCATCCATCTATCCATCCGAGTTATGCACTCCTCCTTGGCATTCTGCATTCTGCACCGAGAGGAAGATGCGGATATGCTGAATGCTGAACGTTGAATGGTGAATGCTGAGTAGGCGGCAGCTGCTGCTGTTTGTCAAAACATTGGCATGAAATTTTGCTGTGGGGCCGGGCCAGTGAAATGATATGTATCTGGCAGATACATAAGCATCTCGCTCGGTGTGCATATGTAAATGCAGTTTCCTGCCCAGCCTGTCCCAAAAAGAAACTCCATTAGCAGCGAGCAACTACAGCCAAGCCGAAGCCAAGGCCTCCTCCTCGAATTCCGCTTAATTTCGTTGACGATTAATCAAAATCAAATAAATGCAAGTAACTTTGGCTTGCTCCCCCAGTTTTTTTACCCCATCCTCCGTACTTTCCAGCTCCTTTGCTTTCTGCTAACTGCTGCTGATGGCCGTTGGCCGATGATGGATTTCGTGATAAATGAAGTGAAATTTGAGTGGATTTTGTGCCGTTCTGGGCCTCGTATTTCGTTTTTTTTTTACTCCATACAAATGCGTTAAATGCTCGAAACGATTATCTCGGGTCTGCGAAGGGGGCTTTATGATGATTTACATGTGTACAGACATGTTCAGACCCACAGTGGTGGTAAAAATTATCTTCGGACTTTGGTTTCGTTATAATGAAAGATAACTTTGAGATGGCAAAAAAAAAAAAAAAAAGAAGAACATTCTCAAAAAGTTAATACGAAAAGCATACTATTATTTATTTTAATCTGTATAATTTGTTTACAGTTGTATGCAGTTAAAGCAAATACTTCTCACTAGCTCCACTACTTTTTTAACCCCTGCTGTAACCATTACATCCACCGTTATTTTTATGAGTTTGCCGTAGCTGTTTGACTTATGCAGGATTACCACGATATCTCTCCCCTTGCAGTCACCTTTTCTTTTCCCGTTTTTCGTAAATTTATGCTTCTGGCTTTGCAAGGTCATTGTTCCACATTCTTCTTGGAGAAAATCTTCCTAATCCTGCCAGAATTAGCATTTCCCTGTTAAGTTAGTCTGGCATTTACTGCTGCTAATTGCTGGAGAGACATGTTTTGACAGTCCCCGAAATTTCATAACTTTTATTGGACCACTCAGTCACCGGGCTTTTGTTGTTGGTTGGTAAATGTGTCGCACAGACAGCACGGCGGCGTGTTTATTAGACTGCAAACACAACGGCAACAACTGTTGTGTTAGCCACACACAATGAGAACCGCGAATCGCGGATCGTGAATCGCCAATCGAGAGCCAATGACAACGCACATTGGCACGTATTGCTCATTTTCACCGCATGTGCATATCATATGAAATAATACCGCTGCCTATACAGAGATATATATAGCCGCGTATTTTTCTATACGAAATTTGCATATTTTCGGTGTCTATTAGTCTGCTGGCTGAGATTTATATATGCTTTCCCGTCTATTAAAAGCCAGCACACGTCATTCTGTCGCCGGGCAGCCTTAAAAGGCAGCGAGTGGCTGGTCGGTCGCCAATGTTTGATTCATCATCAGGTGACCAAAAAAAAAACAAAAAAAAAAAAAATAATAAAAAGCGTAACAATAATTGCCAGCAGTCAAACAGTCTGGCCAAAAGCGAGGAGCAACATGTTGCAGCAATCGATTGCTACTGCAGCAGCAACATGTTGCTGGCGTATCAATTTGGTATTGCTGTTCGCTTTTGTATGCCAAGCGGGTTGTGGCCATAAATCGAACTGACATTTTGACGCGACTTGCATTGTTTGTTGTGTTGGCCAGGCCCACCCACATTCACTGAAATCTGGTATTCAAAGTCCCTGCGCGGGCGCCATTTAATGATTCATCGCTGATCGCTGGCTTCCTTTGCCTTTTGGCGGTTGTAAATCTTCAATCGAAGGAGAACTTCAACTTCGCTGGCTCCTTGGCAATTATAAATCGCTTCTGGGAAGGAGTCGCTCGCACATTGTGTTGCCAACAAATCGCAGACGACAAATGCGCAGACAGCTTGACTTTATTTTCGTGCCGCCAAGCTATAGCCACATATATATATATATACTATATATACAATGTCTGCGTACATGTTTATTTCTAGCCAAATAGCATTTGGTATTTTGTCTGGCAGGCGCATAAATTTCGAATTAGAAACAAAAAGAGCGAAACATCCAAGACGACGACTACGACGACTGCGACTACGACGACTAATTAGCCGCTCTGTTGTTTTTATTTTAATTTTGACCCAGCCATGGCAACCGAGGCAGCAACACAGCAACAAAGTTGCCAGTCAGTCCCTCCAATTCGCTACTGTATCTGAGATCAGTATCCGATCGCGGCTTGAGTGACTTTTGGCTAACGCCTCCTCCTGATTAGCATCCGAATCCAATTCCAATTTCGATCTGCGAATGATGATTGGCCATCATCGCCCCAATATCAATATCAAAGTCGTTGATCCCCCGATTCTGTTTGCTCATTTCGATTTCTTGATAAAATCGCAATAAAAATTGTATCAGCTGCTGCTGCTGCCGTTGAAATATGCAAATTGGTTTTTATATAATTTTATTTTTTTTGCCCGATTGGTAATGCAAGGTTCGCCATAAAAGCCGCTGGCCGATAAGATTTTATGTGAAATGTTGGTTTTATTTGTGATTTTTATTTGCTCAACATTGATTGCTAATATTTATTTCCCATTTCTTTTCGTTTCAGGTAAGTTCAAAGTTCTCAATGAAATGACGAGTCTGGGCGGAAAAATCACAAATGTCGAAGAACATTTTCCGGGTAAATTATAAATATGTAAATAAATCAGCGGAGGCACGTAATTTATTTAAATTGAGGTCTTCTATGCAGTCAGACCGCTTCCAATTAATTTTATGAAAATTCCTCGTAATGAATTACTCACCTTCAGTGCATTTTGCAAAAGTATTTTTCAATTTTGGCGCGCTTTTAAACGCCTTTGCCTGGGTGGTCCACCAGTTGCACTTGCCAGCTGCTGCAATTTTTCAAATTTGTGTATGCACATGTACTTTTTAGCGAGTGCTTTTTTCGTTTTTTGCATTTTGTTTTAATAATTTGCGCCTGCAATTAAAAATCATTAAGCCAAATCAGCGCGGTCTGGCCGCCGGGCTCTCTAATTAAAGCCGATTGTGTTGATTCGGTTGCCGTAGGCAGAGGGAAAATGGGCGTCTGAATACTGAATACGAATATAGGAAAATTATGCACAATCGCAGATGTATGAAGAGCTGCAATTGTTTTTAATTGCCAGAGTTGAAAATAAGAGAGAGGGCAGATTGGGGAGAGTCCATTAGCCAAATTGTGTCAGGCATAAATCTGACCATCTGCTCATTGGTCTTTGGGTTTTGTTCGGGATTTGTTTTACTTTTTCGTTAGCGTTTCATTCACAATTTCCACGCGACGCTAAAAGACAAATACCACAGAAAGAAACACACCAAAAAATAAATATAAATAGGCAGTATAGGCATTAATTATAGCCGTTTATAAGGAAAAATCGTTTTAAAAGTTGTCATGCCCAAGCGTGGAGTGTTGGAGTGTTCAAACAACAACAACAACAACAACTAAAACCAAAGAGGCTTGGCAACAACCGCCATAAAACCCGTTTACCTTCGCCATCATTCTTTTTTATTAGGAAAACAAACGATTTTGTTTTGACTTCGACTTTGGGTTAAAGTCTTTTCGCTTTTTTCCCCATTCCACAGCCTCTCCCTTTCCAGCCGATGATTAATTTATTTTTTCGCGGTGTATCCCCCTTTTTTAGAGCTGTTCTGGACTTGGGATACGATTCCCACAGGGATTTCGCGGATATAAATTTGTCGGTCCATTTTGCTCACACCTCGACATAAATTCCTATTTCCACGGAAACTGATTTGAATGGTAGTTATTTGATTTCTGGGAAATAACGAAAGCTTTAAGCTTGAATCACAGCCCGCATGACAAATCCGCAAAAACAAGTTAATTTCGGTGGTTAAGATTAATCAATTCGGAATGTTGAACCTACAGATTAGATTTTGGTTACTATTATCTTATATAACGTTAGTTTTCAATGACTTTTGCCTTTTTAATTGATCTTTAAATGCAGCTCACCTATTTAAAATACATTTATTTTTATAAACAATACACACCTAATGAAAGCTCATAAACTTTCTTCGCAAAGGCGGTTTATTGAAGATTTTTGCAAACGATTGTATGTTAATAACCTATACAAATCGCTATGTGGGCATTGGCAATCTACGAGTCTTTGTTCATTGGAGGGCGTATGCAAAGCGAAATGGGAAGAAAACAATTAATTGCTATTGATTTACGGGGCGTATGCTTGATTTATTTAGCAATCGTTTGACCAAAAAGCAGGCGGGCAATCATTTTCTTTTTATTTATTATTATCTTTTCCTTTGTGTACTCGAATATTTTATTTATTGCCCACATGCGCGCCACAATAAAATGCCCGAAGCCAATAGATAATGATGACTTCATTGCCAATGTTGCAACATCATCAGCAATAATCACAGTAGCTTTTGAATCTTTTGAAGGAAGCTGGCCTGCGGGCGATGAAAAACAGTTTAAAATTCATGTGGGCTACTGTTCGTTATTGATTTCACGGTTGGCAAAATGCTGCCAATAAAACTGATGCTGAGGAGATTGGGGTAATTACTAATGGCGGAGCAGCTACTTTGGGCCATCTGATAAATCGGGGATACTGCCGAGCTAATTCTAATGCTATGGCCAGCTTTGTAAAGCTGTGTAAGCCCCTTGGCTTTTGTTTTCCTAACCGTTTTGCGCCGCGCTTGTTGTTATCTTCTCTCGAAACGCGGCTAATTTATGCATCGCTCTATGCTTTGCATTTCAAGCAGTTTCCTCCGCTCGATCACATGTCCACCAAACTGGTATATACATCTGTATATATCAACTATATATATGTCTATGGTATATAGACAGCGCTTAGCCACTATATAGACCCGGATGTCGCGGTCTGTGTGAGCGGACCTCTCTAATGCCAATTCAATTTGAGGCTAATGTAGATTGAGATACGATTTATGCAGATTATGCAAAGGGCGGACGGAGCCGATCAATTCAGCTAACCGGAGTGTAGGTGTCTTCTGAAGCAAAGAGTTTCTAGTAGTAATTCCCCTCTCCACAGAAGCTTGAGCAGCATCCACAGTATTCACAATATCCACAGCATCCGGCTGCCCACGCACCAAAAAAAAAAAAAAAAAAAGAAATAGGAGGGAAAAAACTCCAAACTAGACAGACATTTTGTTTAGCATTTTGTTGTGCCAACTGTCCCATTTGCTCAACTCGGTTTACTCCTCCCTATTTTTTATTTTATACTCGTATTCCCCCCAGAGCCCACGCTTAACGTAGTTTATTTTGTATTTTTTTTTTTTTTTGGTTTATCGCCTAGAAGTCGCGTCGCCTGGGCGTTTGTGATTTAATTAAAAATATGCGACACTTAATTAAAATGCATGCGACGACCAGAGACACTTGCGAATATTTAGAGAGACTGCAGCGCGTTTTATTAAGAATTTTGACAGCCTTTTGATTAAGAGCCCAACCGCCCGAGGCACTTGGCAGGTTCGCTCCAACGCCCACGATTGTCGATCTTAGCATGGGAAATAACTGGTTGCTTGGTTGGTTGGTTGGTTGGTTTGCTGGTTGCTTACCCGCTGATTTATCGGAAGGCAAAAAGCCGAGGCAGTTGGCCCATTCATGCCGCTTACAGCTGGCCAACAGCCAACAGCTTACAGGCAACAGTTAACAGCGAAAACATGTTTGTATTGGCTGTGACACGTTTTGAAAGTCAATTAAACGCTTGTAAAATGCATTTATGCAAAGCGAACGCACTCTGTCCGCACAACAATGGCGACTTCATAATTCCAACTCCACTTAACGCTGTGACGCAACAGAACGTTAACAGTGGGAGATCACTGTAGCGGCCCCCAGCAGAGCGAGAACCAGTTCTCGAGTGTTAATTACACAGAGCAATCTTTATCTAGCTGGATATCTGGTGGGGAATGTCGTCTAATCTAATGCCAATTCATTCAGCCAACCAAACGACGAAAAGGAAAGTTCCGTGCGACGTTCCGCCGTTCAAGTAAATGCGCAAATGCCAAGATAAAATTTGGCAACCTCACAAACAATTGCGGCAACTAAATTTAAATTGCCCCCAAAAGAATTATAGCCATAGCCAAGTAAACCGAGGCAAAGCAGACAGATCCCAAAACGAGCCAAACAAACAAACATCAGATGGTTGGATAAAAAGCCAACGACGTCAGCAAGTCACAAGTATTCGGCTCTCCGGGGACCGGCCGAATAAATCTGCCAATATAAATAAATCCGCTTTTGGCAGGAGACCGGAGATCAGATAGGAAAATCAAATGCCAACCAGCCGATTCATTAAGACCGACAAAAATTATTATGGAAAATGCCGCCCACTTTTCTCGAAATATATAGTAAATACCGGGGAATACAACATGCCGCGCGGCCTACGTTCAACAATATAACTTAGCATTATTATATAAAATGTATAGCAAGGAAAACAAGGCAGGGAAATGAAAACAGACGCCCACAGTGAACAGGCCTACGAAAAACCGAAAAAGATTAATGAAAACGTGCAGAAAAACACAAATGCCACAGGGGGGAAATTGGTATTTGAAAAGTGACTAGGAAATGCCCTTTTCAACAGAAAGAGTTCAAAGAGAAATGTCAACTAAAGATATTTATTATAAATATTTAAAGATCAAACCATTTCATCATTTTTAAGGAAAATATTAATGTTTTTTAAGAAGTGCGCTTCTTAATAGTAATCGTATTTTAGAAAGTGTATTTAGCATTTCCATCTTCCTCTATAAATATGGTTCTTGACCCTGCTAAGTATCTCTTCAGACGTCACAGACTTTCTGTGTTTGTTGCTATTGCAGTTACTGCTGCTTTTGTTTAGTTTGGATTTAGGGAGCTGATGATGCATGAACCAATCCATTGATGAGCTCACTCCAGACCAAAATCAGGTGTTTGCGCACAGCGAGTACTACGAGTAGTAGATGGATTTGTGTATCTTTGCGATCACATGACTGCGTGCATTGGCGTCAGCACTTTCTGTTTTTATTCGCACAGTAGAATAAATGGAAAAATGAGACCTAACACAACGAACAACAATATTTTTTGCGGACTAACTTGTTTTATTTTGTAAACACAAAGCAACGACTAAAGATAATAAAAATGACCTGAAGTTTTTAATCTAAAATTTATCATCGTCATCTTAGTAAAAAACTTGACAAGGTAAAAAAGTAGAACGTGCTCTATTCTTTATTGAATGTAGTTACCAGATTAGCTCTATCAACTAACCCAGTTCGATAGCAGACTTAATTCCCCTTAAATAACCTCGTTTGATAAGTAACCTCTTCACTTTTCCAAACGCTTAAGAGGCCAGAATCTCAAATTCAGGTGATCGCAGCTCATTTAGGAGTAATTCTAACAAACGATGCCGCTTAAAAGCGATTGTAGCTCCTTTTAAGTCTGAAAATCCCATTTTGGAAAGCGATTCCCCTAAAGAGATTAACATTGACCCGTAATTACTTTATATGGATTGCAATTTTAATTAGACTCTCGACTTTGAACAGCTGCTTTTGTGGCCATACACAGTGGGTAGCAAAAATAATGGCACACCGAAGAGAACGATCTCTCGCCGCTGGCTGTTCGCTCGAAGGTCTGCCAATTGCGATGGCTTTATAGTTTTGCAACGCACTGTTTGGCCGCATGTAGGGAATATTTTATGGCATGATTCAGCTAACGATTTCCGCTGCCAACGCTCTCACATGGGTGCAGTTTTCCCCCGGTGGTGATGTTGCCCCACCACCCAAGCGTTTATCATCACCAATAGGCGACTGCTGTCCCAGAGTCACCATGATGATCCGATCTACGATCTCCAATCTCCGAGAGCTCCGTGATCTGTGGGCTGCTGGCTGTTGGCAGTTGGCAGTGGGCGTGGGTCGCCTGCCGCCTCTTTGTCGAGATCGTGCCGCAAACATCGCATCAACTGGCGGCTGGTCGGGCTAAAAATACTATATATATCTCTGTGTTGCATATTGGATGGGTTTGCTTCTCCCACTAGAAAAGCTGCAGCCTTCAGCTTGAACTCCCATCCCTTAGTCATTTGATTGGAATTTTATGCAAGCTAATACGGAAATTCTTAAACTAAAATATTAGTAAAATAGGATAAGTATTCAAAGTAGGTTTCCTATTCCCAAATGGATAGCTTCGTTAACAAGAACTTCTTGGTTCAGTCTTAATATCATTCCTCAAATAGATTGCCTTATTAAACAAGAAATACCTTCGGAGTCATTTTTCGGAACAATGTCAGTTATGATTGGAATCATTTTTTGTTCTCCGCCAATCGTTTATGATTGGAAATATTATTTTACGATGCTGCATCTTTGAGTTCGAACGAGTGCCGACCATATAGGGCCAGTGTTCCTGCGAGACTTCCTTTTCGTGTTTGAAGAGTTTCACATAAAAATGGTTGTTTATTGCAACCAGCTAACAAACACACACACACATAAACTGAGAGGAGGAGGCCAACCTGAAGGTTGCTTTGTTCTGGGCCTTCCAGCCAGATTCAGTTTAGTTTAGTTTCTTCTCCGCGCTCCGTTCTTTTTTTTTTTTTTTTTTTTTTCTCACTTTTCGGGTTCTGCTGAGTGGCAAGCGCGTGCACTTGGCGCCAACTTGGAGCCGCCACATTGCCTTGCCCCCTCGAGCGGCAGCAACAATTTGATTCTTGATTCTGGCCGCCCCCTTCCTCGTTCTCCTTCTCTTTCCCGGCGGATGCCACTTGGTTGTCCGCGGTTCGTTTCATAATTTGGCTGGCCGTTTTTTGCCCCGGTCTGGTCTGGTAAGAAATTCATAATTTGTCTGCACCGCAACAGGCTACCGTGCTACGTGGTCATCGTTTTGGGTTCTCGATTCTGGGTTCTTTGGGATTTTTCAGCATTTTCTGGTTGTGCAAGCAAAGAGCAAAGATATTTAGCAGCAACAGGTATTTGCGAATAAAACTTGGCAGCATTCTGATAGCCAAAACATAGGTTTGAACAATTGGGAATACGAATATATATAGTATGTCTGCACGTTTTGCATGCCAAGCGACAGCAGATACAATTGGCGCGATAAAAACCGCCCGTGAAACGCGTGGCGACAGCGGCCAAACAGCAGCTGTCGCTGGCTATTAAATTGTAATTAAATTATTATCTCGCCGTGGCAAGGGGCGTGGCCAAATGCAGGCAACATCCGCCAATTTGTGGGTTTGTTTTCGCCTCAACTTTTTGTCTGGTATTTGCAACTGCAACTGCTGTGAATGGCATGCAGTTTCTATTGGGCATGTGTCACTCGTTTCGCCTTTTTTTCTTTTTTTGTTATTTTAACCCACAGCCTTGGCAACACGCGACCTGCTCTCAGATATAAGTATACACGTATGTATCTCCCCGAAAACTACGCTAGGAATTCGCATCGTTAATCAAGCGAATTGTATCTGCTTTGGAACATTTTTAGAGCATTACCATTAATAGCTCTTAACTGCGATCTCGTTTCGTGTGAATGTTGTGGCTTTGATGGATGGATGGGGTCTTGTAACGACGCTCGTTTGAGCGTAAATAAGCGAATGGAATCCGAGAGTTTTGTTTTCCCAGAATTGCCGGCCAATAAACAATAATGAGAATCGGAAAACAATCCCACCGAAAGCAAGTCAGCAAAAGTGCGGAAATCTCAGTGTGTATGTTTTTATGTTTTTGACTATCCAGCAGATCAGATCCATGACACACATCCGTTTCTCAGTTTCTCGGGCTTTACGACTTATAAATGGTCGATAAAAATGTCTAAAAATATGCTAAATACATTGCACAGTTTGCGGGGTAAACAAATCACCTTTCTGCCTGCCAGTCCGCAAACCGCCATAAAAAATATGGCACATTCGCCTGGGTGTATGAAAGGCGTTTTTATGAATGAACTGCAAGCGCTGAATGCAATTAAATGCGAGGCGGTATTGAGCAGGTCGCGGCACTCCAACGAATCAGCGATATAGCGATCCAACGATCCAGCGATCCAGCGATCCATGGGAAAGCCACCCACTCGACCGTAACTCATTCATCTAACGGCTGTCTCTCGCTCGCGGGGAAAAACGCACTTAGTGCTTTTCTCGTCGGCTGTCGCAGGCGGAAAATGGCCGTAAAACCAGCGCCCAATGGCCAAAACGCCCACTCCATAACGGTGGAGCTCTTATGTACACTTAAAACATAGAAACGTGACAGTAATTATCTTCTATAAAAAGAAAGAATTCTTTTTTTAACAGTAGTAAATACAATATAATATATATTTCTGTTGAAATATTATTTTTCTATTTTAGTTTAAAAGCAATATATTTTTCGTAAAAGAAAAGTTTCGGTACTTAAAATTTCTTTAAGGAGAACTTACCTTTACTTTTAGCAATAACTGCCTTTGAACTGGTAAATAGTTTTTCCTTTTTTAAGTGTAGGCGATTGTGGTCAAGTGGCAGCAGCAGCTACCGAGTAAAAAAAAGAAAAATAACAACAGCAACCACTGGCAACAAGCTTGTAATTAGTTGCAGATTTGCCAGCGACCTGAATCAATTGCCCGAGTTACCGTTACCACTTGCTTTTTGCTACTTGCTATTTGCTACTTGCAGCTTGCTACTTGCAGCTTGCTACTTGCTATTTGCTACTTGCAGCTTGCTACTTGCAGCTTGCTACTTGCTGCTTGCTACTTGCTGCCACGGCCCACTCTTCATGCTCAAACGCATTTTCATGCTCCAGTGAGCGCATGCGGTTCGAATTTACCGGCGTTTATAATCGCAGAGTTAGGACAACATACTTACATGATTGATTTATGGGAGTACCCGCCATTAAAGTGGAAGTTAGGAGCTAAGAATACTGCTAGATTATACAGTTTGTTATCTTTTTTCAAGTACTTTATGGAAATTAAGGGGCTTACAATTAAAGTTGCAACTTCATTTTCAAGCAACAATGTAAGTAAAGAGCCCGAAGTAGCATTATTAATTCCGAATGATAGCCATTGATTGGATCTTAAGGCAATGATTATGCCTGCCCACTCATCAATTTTTAATGCATCTCAGGAAAGATCTTTAAGGAGATGCTAGTGGTTATGATCGTATGTGATTGCAGAGGTACTAATTGCAAATAACATGTTAAGCAGCCTAAGAAGTTGCCAAGCGCTTGGGATTTTCTCTTCATGGCCAATCGTATTTTCAAACAGCAGTTAGAGCGGCTTATAACAGCTTTGAAAAAGCCATAAAATAGAAGGAGTTTAAGAAAAATAAAACAAAGAATTTGCAATTATTTTGGAGGATAATAAGAAGCTTCCAACCAGACTCGACATTCTTACATTCGTTTGGTAAAAGATGAAAGATACTTATGAATATTTTTATTCTCTGACATTACAGCCCGCTCCTTGACCTGCTACTGCGATGGAAGCTGTCCGGACAACACCAGCAATGGAACCTGTGAGACGAGACCCGGTGGCAGTTGCTTCAGCGCAGTGCAACAGCTTTACGATGAGACGACTGGTTTGTACGAGGAGGAGCGCACATTTGGATGCATGCCACCCGAAGACAACGGCGGCTTTCTCATGGTGAGTTTATCTTAATAAAATCTCCAATAAACATATTAATAACTGGAATATCTTTTATTTAACAGTGCAAAGTAGCCGCTGTACCCCACCTGCATGGCAAGAACATCGTCTGCTGCGACAGGGAAGACTTCTGCAACCGCGATCTGTATCCCACCTACACGCCCAAGTTGACCACCCCGGCGCCAGATTTGCCCGTGAGCAGTGAATCCGTGCACACGCTGGCCTTCTTCGCCTCCATCATCGTCTGCCTGTCCATGTTTATGCTGATCCTGGCCAGCCTCTGTCTCACCTACAAGCGCCGCGAGAAGCTGCGGAAGCAGCCACGTCTGATCAGCTCCATGTGCAACTCACAACTGTCTCCCTTATCGCAACTGGTTGAGCAGAGTTCGGGATCGGGATCGGGATTGCCACTGCTGGTGCAGCGGACCATTGCCAAGCAGATACAGATGGTGCGACTGGTGGGCAAGGGACGCTACGGCGAGGTCTGGCTGGCCAAGTGGCGCGACGAGCGTGTGGCGGTCAAGACCTTCTTCACCACCGAGGAGGCCTCCTGGTTCCGCGAAACGGAGATCTATCAGACCGTGCTGATGCGCCACGACAACATTCTGGGCTTCATTGCCGCCGACATCAAGGGCAACGGCAGCTGGACACAGATGCTGCTGATCACCGACTACCACGAGATGGGCAGCCTGCACGACTACCTCTCCATGTCGGTGATCAATCCGCAGAAGCTGCAGCTGCTGGCCTACTCGCTGGCCTCCGGACTGGCCCACCTGCACGACGAGATCTTCGGCACCCCCGGCAAACCGGCGATTGCCCATCGCGACATCAAGAGCAAGAACATTCTGGTGAAGCGGAACGGGCAGTGTGCCATTGCTGATTTCGGACTGGCGGTTAAATACAACTCGGAACTGGATGTCATCCACATTGCCCAGAATCCCAGGGTGGGAACACGTCGCTACATGGCGCCCGAGGTGCTCAGCCAGCAGCTGGATCCCAAGCAGTTCGAGGAGTTCAAGCGGGCTGACATGTACTCGGTGGGTCTGGTGCTGTGGGAGATGGCCCGTCGCTGCTACACACCGATTTCGGGAACGAAGACGACCACCTGCGAGGACTACGCCCTGCCCTACCACGATGTAGTGCCCTCGGATCCCACGTTCGAGGACATGCACGCCGTGGTCTGCGTGAAGGGCTTCCGCCCGCCGATTCCGTCGCGCTGGCAGGAGGACGACGTCCTGGCCACCGTCTCCAAGATCATGATGGAGTGCTGGCATCCGAACCCCACCGTTCGACTGACCGCTCTGCGGGTGAAGAAGACGCTGGGGCGACTGGAAACGGACTGCCTGATCGATGTGCCCATGAAGATCGTCTAGGCGACTGTCCATAGTCTCGTTTTAGGTTCGACCTAAGTTGCATTTAGTTTTCTGTTTTTTTTCTGTTTCACGTTCAACCTTTTGCGTTGAAGACCTTTGAACTTCCTAGTTAGTTTCTAATCATAAGTTGCCTGTACTTGAGCGGAGCAAAGCAGAGGATCCTTCAGAGGTGCCTATTACATATGGTTACTTTAATCGCCGCACTGATTGTAAGCTAGAGTTTAGAGTTAGCAGTAGCGCGTAAGAAAAGAGGAGCTAGTTGCTAAGGCCCCTTGCAAAATCTTTGGTTAGAAAAATGCTTTAACTATTTGAGAAATATGTAGGGAGTATGTATTTTGGATGAGACATATTCATGTTGATGTACATATGTATGAGAACAAACGAAAAAAAAAAGTTAATCAGAATCGAAATTTACATGTAACATACTATAATTTTTGTGCCAGCTTTTGTACGCTTTAATGTCTATGAATTAAGCCCCCTATTTTTCGACACCCGAGGCTTTAGCCTTCCATTATGTTTGTATGTAGTGATTAGGATTAAGTGAAAACTTTGCAGACTTTTGTGCAAGTGAATGCTGCCTTTGTAAAATCCACGGAATTAGTTGCCTTAAGACAGAGTGTAAAGACAGGAGCCCCTTCTCCCCCGTTTAAGTAGCAGATATTTCAGTATATCGACCGAGATATATACACGAAGTGCACTTGTGTCGGCTCTTTTGTTTTGTGTAAATAGCAAAGATGTTTATAGGCCGCTAACCATACAGATATATAGTATGCATATTATATATTATCGTTATAAGCGATTCTGTAAATACTATATATGTATCTTTACCCGTAACCGTTTAACTTATCTCTTATCGTTCTTATCGTGTAACCTTCTGTTAAGCTAGAGTTATAAAAGACTAGCCAGTAAGAGCAAACTATATAAACTAGTTGGATATGTATTCTTCAGTTTTTTCTGTTTCATTATTACTGCGCGCAGACCACAAGAACTACAGTTTGTATTAAAGCGTTTAGTTAATTTATTTAAAAATAATAAAAAATATTATTAAAACCCAAAAGCTTGATTTTCTGTTGGTTTTTTTTTTATCAGCACATCTATTCGCCCGCCATCATCTCCATGAATTCTGCGGGTGGTTAAAGTTATTTAAGAGGACTTTCAAGAGTAACTGACTTTACTAACCATCAAAGTCCACGGTGCCGGAGCCATCAGTATCGATTTCAGCAATGATGCCATCGAGATCGCTGGAGGAGAGCTTGTCGTCGAGGGCGGCGAGAATTTCCTTGAGCGTCGAGGTGGTGATGTAACCGTTGCCCTCGCGATCGTACAGACGGAAGGCCTCCTTCAGCTCCTTCTGGATGGCCTCGGCGTCCTCCTCCTCCAGGAAGTGGGCGGCGATGTTGCAGAAGCCGTCGAAGTTCACCTTGCCGGTGTCCTCCGGATCGTTGTCGTCGATCAGAGCCTGCAGCTCGCTCTCCTCGAACATCTGACCCATGCTGTTGAGGATCGTCTTCAGCCGAAGGGTCTCGATGAAGCCCGTCTTCTGTGTATCGAACATTTGGAATGCCTTGCGCATGATGTCCATTTTCTCATCGTCCTCCTGCGCTTACCCAAAAAGGGCGAAAAAAAAACACCGAAGAATTAGCCAGGTCGATTGCACAATCTCCGACATCCGATAGATACCATTTTGTATCCGTTGGCCGAGCGACGATCTGCGAGCGAGCGAGTATTCCAATCTCCAATGCGTTCCAACTGCGTTGGCCTGCGGGCGCGCACTAAACCGATCGCCTGGCCAAGATCATTATTTATAAACAACAAATTTCGCTTAGTGGAAGCGTCACTCATACGCAGCGTTGTACGCCGCCACGTCGGCAGAGGCTACATTAGCATCCCATCCATGGGATGGGTTATTGTTGGTTGGTTCGCCTTTCGGCGAAGCACTTTATTAACAGCCATTGGAATGCGACATGGACGGAGGTGGCAGCGGATACTGATTCTGATTCTGGCCAGACATCCACTGATCGAAATCAGATCAAAGTGTTACAGGTGCACAGACTGCCTGTTTGATGGGTTTTCGTAGTGGTGGTCGGGGGGTGCCTTAAGGTCGGCGCGACGTCATCTCCATCATAATTTTCCTTTTGGCGCTGGCAGCCGGAAAAACGAGCGCACAGCGCACGCTACAATTATGCAAAAGAGCAGCAAATACACCAGAACACAGATACAGTACACTACACAGATTCTAGTTGAAATACAGATACAGATACAGCGTACACCCTCGCATCCATAATCGTATCTCTGGCCAAGTATCTGTATCTGTATCTGTATCTGTGTATGCCCCGTCGGTCACTCAGTCAGTCACTAAAAATCGACTATAAACGTCTTCACAATCAGTCACAAAATCAGCGAGATTTTCTCACGGTAATTGTATTTTTAGTACTTTATAGCAATTTTTGTCCATATGATCATATATGAGTGGGCCAGAAGCCCAGAAACTGCTGGCTCTTCCACAGGCTATCCACTATCCACTATCCACGACTGCCCATAGCCACAATGCTGCTGCAGAAATGTTGATTTGGTTTTGTATTTTTGCGCGTTTTTCAGAACAAACAAACAGGCATTCATGCGGCGGCAAATGGACATCAGGCAAGATGGACAGGCCAGTCAGTCAGTCAGTCAGTCAGTCAGTCAGTTAGTCGTTTGCGTTGGGGAAAGTGGGAGGATTCGGTCTTTGGCCAGGGGTTCTCAGATCAGATAGTTCGTTCTATACTGTTGTACCATATAGCATGGGTAACCTTCCGGCGGCATTTTTTGGCAAAGGCAGAAAGTAGCGGCTTTGATGGTCATTTGAGTTTTATTATTTATGACAAAACGTGAAACACTTTTGGAATGTCCCCACAGCGCGGGGGGATGGATGGATGGGTTTGGGGATAGAGTGCACTTATACACACAGAGTTCGATTGTTTTTGCATAATTCTGAATGACCAAAATGTGTGTGCTTCCTCGTATAAATAGCCAGAGTGTTGGCCACAGGCGACGTGGCATAAGTTCTAATTCGGACGCTGACAGTTTGGTGGCATGAAATTTAAGGCTAGATTTACGACGTAATTACCACTGCAAATTGTTCTCGCCAGGAGCGAAGTCAATGCAAATGGCCAAAGGGTCATATGAACATGAATGATGATTCTTATAGTACGATACGATATTTATAAAATTTAATTTAATATTTAAAATGTTTATCCCTTTAAAACTTTAAGGTTTTCATGTTAAGATATTATTTCAAAATAAATCAAAGTTGGTTTAACTTTAAACGCCCCTCGTCTGGCGCAAAAATGTACGGCTAATGCAGTTATTAAAAATTTTATGGTTTCCTAATCCGGCTGAACGAAACTGAGTTAATTAAGAATGTTTACGCTTTCGAGAGTACTTAAAAAGAAAATTAAAACTATTAAAGGCTTTAGAAGCTTTACAGAAAAATGTGGACACTTCTCTTTTTAATTGGTAATTCTTACATACTTTAACTGCAACGCTGTCATCTTTTAAATTCTTTGTCAGGTTTTTTAAGTCAGACGTTTGCTGATGAGATTGATGACAGTCAAGAGGAGATGGAATGCTTCTCTTTGCAAGAGGATAGATGTCCCAATGCCAACATTACCTTTTGGATGTACACGTAAGGGAAATTAAAGAAATGATTTATCCCTTGAAAGACTTTAGTCACAGATAATTAAACAGGAATGGACATCCCCGTGGATTTGAAATTTCACAGAACAATATACCGAGGCATGAATTTGAACCCCAAAAACGGCTGAAGGTTTTGATCCATGGATTCAATGGCAATCGCGATTTTACTCCTAACGCTCAGTTGCGATCGAAGTTTACCGACTTGGACATAAATGTGATATCTGTGGAGTACAAAAAACTGGCCCGTGAACCCTGTTATTCGGAGGCAGTGGATAATGCAAAGATCGTGGGTAAATGCCTTGCCGCACTGCTGTGGGAGTTGCTCGAGAACGAGTTGGTAAGGAATGAGGATCTGCATCTGATCGGCTTCGGTTTGGGAGCCCATGTGGCTGGGTTCACTGGATCCGAAGTACCCTATAAAAAACTGGAACACATAACGGCCCTCGATCCGGCAAAACCGCTTTTCCTGGGACTAGATGCGGCCAGAAAACTCGATCCCACGGATGCAAACTTCGTGGATGTCTTGCACACGGATGTCCTCATGCATGGTTTACTGGATCCCCAGGGTCACGTGGACTTTTACATAAACATGGGGCTAACTCAGCCCAACTGTGGACCGATCTCAAAGAGTGAGTCTTACGAACTTACAGATATCATTAACATTTTATAACTATTATTACTTTTAATTGGGAGTAACGTAAAATAGTACTTAATATTTATTTAAGATCTAATCCTTTTCCTTTTTTTATCCTTCAGTGGAAACCCACTTGTGCTATCATAACCGATCCGCGGATTACTATGCAGAGTCCATCTCAACAGCTGAAGGTTTCATCGGCTTCTTCTGTCCCAACTTCAAAAGCTTTGCCACAGGAGATTGTAAACCGACAAACAATATAGAGTTAATGGGTTATTACGTCAGATCGGAGTATGTTTTGTAACTAATTTAACAAGACTTTTTAACCGCTTTAATTTGATTGCAGAGCCAGGGGAAGATACTTTCTGGGCACCAACAAAGTGCCACCTTACGCCATGGGGCTAAACTATGAAAACCTCGATCGCCAAGTGAAAGGTCGCACCTTCTTAAACGATGAGCTTATGGAGACGATTTTTAAAAAGAAAAGTTCCTAGCTAATAACTGAAGTAAAAATTAAAAAAGGTAGTATACCTCATAAGAAGTGTACCTTAAAAACTGAATAAAACTATTTGAAAATAATAGATTAGTTCATATTTGGGTCATTTGTATTGCTCTAAAATAAGAAAAATTTTTATAGAAATTTCTTTTTAAAACATTTGTTTGTAAAGTAATTTCTTTGCTTTTGTCTCTATATATTTTGTGAAACATTTCCAAAGTAGAAATAGACCCTGTTCCTAATTTTCAGCTGAAATACTTTCGACACAAGCTCATGAGTTCAGGTAAATTTGGCCCACCTTTGCAATCAACAGGAGGAGCAGCCGCGACAGCCGTGTCAACAACTCGTTTGGCCAGGTGACAGATGCCAAGAAAAAGTAGTGTGTGCATGAAAATAAAACTATATGAAAAGCAATTTCACGCGCCTTTCTCGCTTCTCATTCGAAACGAAACATAATGGAATTTTTCGGTTGCGAGGGGCGGCGAACCGAACTAAACCAAACTAAACGAAGCCAAGCGAATTGAAACTAACGCGAGGAACTTTCAGGCAAACAAGTGTTTGCATTCCGTCGCCAAGAAGCGACGACAGCCGAGGATGCACCTTCAGTCGACTCGAATGGAATCGAATCGAAGGGAAAGGACTCCAAATCAAAGCAGGCGACGGAGTTTGATCGATAAAAGTCAAACGATTGTTAGGAGCGCCACAAAACTTGGGGCTAATCAGAAAGTTGTGAATGGTAAGCAAGTAGTTAGCAGTGGAGTGCAGCAAGGAGAGGTTGGAACAGGATCGCCATGGAGGAGCTGCAGGACGCCAGCATCCACCACATGACCGCCAAGGTCATCGCGGCCATCAAGAACACAAAGAGCTACGAGCCCATCTACAAGGAGCTGCAGAAGCTCGTCTGCAATCCCAGCGTGGACACCCACGACATGCGCAACACCCTCGAGGATGCCATCAAGAGCGCCGGACTGGAGACGGAGATCCGGAATATAGTCTACAACTTGGTGCGGAGTCGGTTGGCCAAGCCAGATGACAAGAACCCCGCCAACAAACCAGGAGCGGTGGGTAAAACTAATCAAATTAACAACACAATTATATACATCTTGCATTTTTTATCTGCAAGGGTATAGAGGGTATTATAATTTCAGTCAGAGGTTTGCCACGCAGTGAAGGAGATATTCTTGATCAGCATCACGATCTGATTTGAACTGTTACGAAATAAGAATACATTAGTTATCAATAATTAACTTTTTATTTTTTAATCGATTATGATGACTGCAAGGGTATAGAAAGTTCGGTTCGTCGAAGCTAGTTTCCTTTCTCGTTACAATTGCTTTTGAGTGGTTCGACTTTGATTCAAAACGTTTCCTTTGATATTTCAATCATTTTTTGGTAGCTTGCATTTATTTTGTTAACTTATATACACATTTTACATTTTAATATAATAATAATGTTAATTGAGTCCGAGATTTCGCCAAGTGGCTCAAAAGCGGAGCTTTCAACTAAGCTATCATCTTTATGGACATTAGTAGGTAGTCCTTAAGAAAAAGTATTAATAATCTTTTTTTATTTTATTCCTAACATATTTCCCATAGAAACCCACCGTTAGTGATCCACTTGGCTATTTGAAGAGGGCCGGAGTTCTTTGGGATCGAAGGGTTAGAAAGAGTTTGAATGCCATGTGCACTGAACTTAAGGTTCCACTCCATGGACAACCAAGGATAAGTGCGGATCGCGAGGACTTTATGGCCAAGTGGAATGAACTGAGCAATTACAATATGGGTGGATATTTTTGAGGTCTTAACTAAGATATTTTACTGATTTATTAACCTTAGATCTGGCAAACTACAGACCAGTTTACGCCCCGAAAGATTTACTGGAAGTGCTTCTTTCGCTTAAAGGACCTGCCAAAACCACCGAAAATACAGAGTGAGAAAAGCGTATATCCATAAATATAATTCAAATAAATATAAAGTCATTTGTTATCTTTTCTAGCCAAATCCCTCAATGGGAGTTTTCTCACATTGCTTTGCCTGTGAAGAACCTTTTTGAGCTGCGTGCCCATTATGCGGATCTCCTTCGAAGTGATAGTTATTTGGGAATACCCGATCTCACGGTTCAATGCCAAAGGATTCTGGAGGGTAGACATGCCCCCATGTGCCAGCAGTTCCTGAAGAAGGGTTGCACTCCAGCTCCTTATAGAGGAGCACTTTGGGCCTCCGTTTTGGATAGCAAGCTGCATGACTATGTAATTAAATCAACTCGAATTATTTTGCAATCAATTGAACTATAATTGTTTCCCCTCAGGATATCGAGTACTGGCAGAAGCTGCGAAATGCTGTGTGGACCACGGATCACATTGTGGACAAGTTGGTGTTCAAGGATATCCAATTGACGGCCTCCAACGATGACCAGTACTTTGTGTTCGAGGATGTTCTCTACCAGGTGCTCCTCTGCTTTTCTCGGGACACGGACATCGGTGGTTGTGTGGAGTATGAGGCTTTTCCGGTGAAGGGAAAAACCTACGAGGGTCCGCCCTCTGGAGTGGTTCCCTTCCATGGGATTTGCATGTTTGCCGCTCCCTTCTGCTATTTGTATGATTCCCCGGTGAATCTGTACTACACTTTCCGGGCCTTTTACATCCGCTACTGCCATCGTCTGACCACCATAAATACTCATCCGCAAGGAATCGTCAGTCTGTGTTTGCTGTTCGAAAAGCTTCTGCAAACCTACGAGCCGCAGTTGTGGTCCCATTTCCGTGAACTGCAGATTCAACCGTGAGTTCAGGTTTCCTTAATATATCCATATAAATATTTTATATTTTTATAATTATTATTTATCAGTCTAAGAGTCGTTTTCAAATGGTTGATGCGCGCTTTCTCTGGACATCTTCCTCCCGATCAACTTTTAGTTCTCTGGGATCTGGTAAATAATTCTACTGAATCCTTTGAGCTTTTTAATCACAAATTTCCCTTTCAGATCCTTGGTTTTGACAGCCTCGAGATTCTGCCACTATTCGCCATCATAATCCTGAGTTTCAGAAAGGAAAGCATTATGCAAGTGGCCTCTCTTGACAGTATAGAAGCCATTCTGGCCGATCTTTCGTCCATAAAGGTTTTACCCCTGGTGCAATTAGCTCTTAGTCGCGACTAAAAATGTTTTTATTATTTAGTAACAAAATTAAAGTATTGAAAATGTTTTCAGAAAAATTCGTTTTCGTTGTACAAGGGTTATCTGTTTATAATTTGTGACAATATGTAAAATATAAAAGCAAAATGTTGGAAATGAGATATATGTCTTTATCGTTTTGGTTGTCTATTTTCGCTCCACAAAATCTATCCAAATGCCTCCCTTCAAAGCAGCCATAAAGTAGGTATCATCGAACTGATTATCTGTGCGGGTTTTGGGATTAACTTTGATGTCAAAGTTTTTAACGATCTCCACCAGAGCGGCTTTAACTTGGGTGAGTGCAAACCGCATGCCTTGAAACGAATGATATAAATTGTTATATGTTATATTTCTTTCACTTAAATTAATTAACCCACCTGGACAAATGCGTGGTCCATCGCCAAAGCCAAAGTAAACTCCCTGATCTCGGTACTTTTTGGCTCCACCATTGGCCTCCAGAAATCGTTGAGGCTTGAAGGAGTGGGGATCTTCGAAGTATTGGGCATCGTAGTGAAGGGCATTGACTGGAATGATGACCACATCTCCGGGATAAACTTTAACGCTCACTCCATTTTTGTTAACAAATTCGTAGGGCTCGGTTACCACTTTTCGTGCGGCCAACAGAGGTGGGAAAAGTCGCAGTGTTTCTGAAAAATTAAATACCCTCATGTGGAATATAAAGAATAGGATTTTATAGAAATACCCACCATGAATGCAGGCCTCGATAAAAGGCAGTTCGCTCAGCTGTTCAAAGGTAAACTCGCCTTTACCGATTTCCTCCCTCAGTTTTTGCTGCTCCGCTGGGTTCCTTCCCAGCAAAAGTAGAGCATGAGATAGAACCTGAGCTGTGGTTTCGAATCCATCTGTTAAAAATGTCATTGTGTGTGAAGTCAATTCCACTGCATCCAATCCCTTTTTCTCCTGCAACTGCAGCATGTAGTTGAGGAAGTCATCTCGCTGTTGATCCGGATTATCCCGCCGCATTTGGATGCACTTCCTCATGATGCCGTAGAAGAACTCCTCTACCTCCTTGGAGAACAGACCTACGCTGTAGATTTTTTGGATTGGAGGCCATATATTGACCACCACCATGTATAAAATAAATCCAAATGACTGCTCAAAAACCCGCTTGATCATTCCCTTGAGAGGAGTGGGATTGTCCGTAAAGCTCTGGGCGGAGATTCCCAGAACACAATCCGAAACCACTTCGGTGGTGTAGCACAAGCACAGATCCTTGGCATTCAGGCCATCGGAGGAGGCCATCACCAGCTGTCGTTTGATGTAGTCAACAAACTTCTTGCAAACACGTTGTGAAACCGGATAGGAAGCTTTAACCTTTGGGGTAGGTACATTCAAGCGATAAGTGATTAGTGCACTCAAAAGATAAGGAGCCACCATAAAAAACAATAATTAAAACAGAGATAGCAGTCTCCTAGGTTTTAATTACTGATATGGCTGCAAGTAAACAGCAGAGAACATACAAACTTACTCGATTGGCAGAGAGTCCGGGTGTCACCTCTGCTCGTCTTTCCTTCCAGGACTCTCCAGTCAGAATAAACGGATTGTTGGCCAATATCTTGTCCGATTTTTGGGTGGTCTGTTAAGGGAAACAGTAAAGTAAATGCTTCTAGCTGAGAGTTTCCTACTTACAAACTTGGACATCTCATTGTCGTGGAAACTGCGAAAGTCGCTAACGAATATCTTGTGTGCATATTCAGGTGTCGTAACCATAAGTTGTGGCATTCTAGTGTTGAACACACCCACGATGCTATCGGTGCTTTTGTACTGCCTGAAAATCTCAATTAGTTTAATTGAATTTAAATATGCCAGCACACCCTCACTCGTAGATCTCGTCGATGTCGTAGACGACGTTCCGCTTCTGGGTGAAAATGCTGGGAAAGCTGCCCACAAAAGGCCAAGATTTGGCTGTCGGAATGCCTCTTTTCTTCCAGTAGTTGAAGTTCCAGGTCAGGAAGACGTAGATCAAGGCCAAGAAGGCCGCGATTAGGAAGAGGGCCGTCGAAATGGGACACATGGCACAACCGCTCGCGAACGCGGATGGAATCCAACTGAAGCTCAATTGACTAACCTCAGTCGTTTCAATTGAACTTGATATGTGAGTCAAGTGGTTGGCCAGTGGGAGCCAGATAGATGCACCCAGTAAAAAAACAAATTGATCAAATTGCCTACACCACCTCGGTTAATGTTTGCCACTAAAAGCACTCCGGCGATAAGAACTGATTTCGTTATCAAGATCAAGGGCCACCTCTCGTGTATTAATGGCCGTGGTGCCAAAATTAAAGGCGATTAAATCAAAAATAACACAATATTACAGAACTTAGCGGTTTTTATAGCAGGATTGTTTCGTCATACAGCTATAAACTTCATATTGAAATAAATGGAAGAGGTTAAGCAATTTATTTTTGGTTTTCTAGCTTACTATCTAATCATTGCATTTCTTTTGGTAAAATTTTCAATTGTAATCAATTAGCAACAATTAAGAGCATGAGAGTTTTGTTATCGCTCCTTAAAGTCCAGCCAAATGCCGCCTTTTAAAGTGGCCATGAAGAACGTATCGTCTAGTCGGTCATCTGAACGAGTTTTGGGATTGACTTTGATATCAAAATTTCGTACAATTTCAACCAAAGCTGCCTTGAGCTGGGTCATTGCAAATCGAATGCCTGGACAGATGCGAGGTCCATCGCCAAAAGGAAGAAATACTCCTTGTTCACGATACTTTTTCACTCCTCCATTGACTTCGAGAAAGCGTTCTGGTCTGAAGGCGTGTGGATTCTCATAATACTGGGGATCGTGATGGAGAGCATTCACGGGAATTATAAGGACATCTCCGGGTTGAACTTGCAAAGTTACTCCGTTCTTGTTTACAAATTCATAGGGTTCAGTTACAATTTTGCGAGATGCTATTTGTGGTGAAAACAAGCGTAGTGTTTCTGGAAATAAAGTGCAATTTTTATTAGATATAATTGATCGAAGTTTAAGTAGATTTTCTTACCATGAATGCAGGCTTCTAGATACGAAAGTTCACTCAGCTGCTCGAAGCTTAGTTCCTTATTGCCAATTTCCTCCCTAAGTTTTTGCTGTTCCTCGGGATTTCGGGCCAGCAACAATAGAGTGTGGGATAAAACCAAAGCCGTGGTCTCAAATCCATCAGTTAGAAAAGTCATTGTGTGAGCAGTCAACTCCGGTGCATCCAAGCCCTTCTTCTCCTGCAACTGCAGCATGTAGTTGAGGAAGTCATCTCGCTGTTGGTCTGGGTTTTCCCGCCTCAAATTGATGCATCTTCTCATAAGGTCGTAAAAGAAGTCCTCTGCCTCCTTGGTGAACAGAGCTACGCTGTAGAACTTGCGAATCGGTGGCCAAATATTAGCAACTATGCTGTAGAACATAAATCCGAAGGAGGAGTTGAACACTCGCTTTATCATTCCCACAAGGGGTGTTGGATTATCCGTAAAACTCTGCGCAGAAATACCCAAAACGCAATCTGAAACCACTTCGGTTGTGTAACAAAGGGAGAGATCCATGGCATTTAATCCTTGAGAGGTGGACATTCGTTGTTGTCGCTTGATGTAATCCACAAACTTTTTGCACACACTTTGTGACACGGGATAGACGACCTTTACCTTTTAATTGGGATAATTTTTACAATCTATTAAGATAAATAAGAAATTGTTTTACAATCTTACACGATTTGGAGTCAATCCTGGCGTAATTTCTCCCCTTCTTTCCTTCCATTCCTCGCCCCTCAGAACAAAGGGATTGTTGCCCAGAATCTTATCTACTTTTTTGTCCACCTGTTGAGAAAACAATTTGAAATTTTTCCATGGGTTCTATAATAATCATTTTCTACTTACGAATTTACCCCTTTCATTGTCATGGAAGCAGCGGAAGTCAGTGGTGTAAATCTTGTGGATGTATTCCGGACACGTAACCAACAGCTGGGGAAGTCGTGTGGTAAAGACACCCACGAGTTTATCTGTTTCTTTGTACTCCCTAAAAAATCAATATATTAAATGTCTTATTTCTTTTGGAGAAATATCGCTTTTACTGATAGATTTCATCGATGTCGTAGGCAAGGTTCCGTTTCTTAGTGAAAACGCTGGGAAAGCTGCCCACGAGTGGCCAAGAAGATGCTGTTGGGATGCCTCTCTTTCGCCAGTAGTCAAAGTTCCAGGTGAGAAATACGTAGATCAGGGCCAAAAACCCTGCTATCAAGAATAGCACTAGGCAGATCGGACACATCGCACAACCGGTCTGAAAGGCAGACAGAATTGAACTGAAACTAACAAACGCGCAAGTAAACAACCCAATTGAACCTACATTAACCCACAAAAAAAAAAAACAAATCGATAAAAAGCTTTCCTCGTATCAAAAAAAAACAAATACATACTCGAATAGTTTGTTATTTTAATAAAAGGAAATAATAAAAGCTCAAACAGTAGATTTCCATCAACAACACAACATGTTGCGTATGAACCATTGCTATCAAACCATGTTCGAAGCCACAAGTTGCGGTGCAACTGCAACATTCCACTCAAAGGGCGCCCAAAAAAGTAGGCAATACTTCTTGTCAAATTCTAAAAAAGACTGGGAGACTGAAAACAAAATATCCCCTTATATATCAGTGTATTCACTTGCACCAGTTTTTATTGTCACCGAAAAAACCAGTATTGTGGCCGAAACTATGCTAAAAATTCTCGAAATATGGAATATCATACCTCGTTGGACTCGTAATAATATTGCTAATAAACAGGCATTTAAATCTGTAAAAAAATTTTTAATTTTTCAACTTTGACCAAAAGTTACAAATATCGTTCGCACCCACTTTTCAAATGAAAACAATGAAACAGAGTTATTTTTATATTTTTGTTTAATAATCATAATGCATATAAAGGTACAGTTGTTCACAAGAAAGGAAATCTTAAAATGCTACATAAATTATATTAACTTGATAACGGCTCATTGTTTTATAACCAGATTGAAGCAGCAAAGTACACAAATTTAACATTTAAATCAAACTTAATTAAATACATAATAAATCGCATAGGTCTAATAAATAAATGTATGTATTTTCTCAATAATTGCTCAAGCTTTAAATAATAAAAAATAGTTGTAATAAACAAGTTGGATAAGTATAAGGCAAATAGAATTAGGTTTATCAAAAAATATTAACAACAAAATAGGTTACTTTTTTACTGGATGGACTTACGTCACTTGTCTATATTATGCGAATTGCATTTTTACGATTTTTTTTCCAAAGAGTTATTCTTTTGTTTTATGAATTTAATTTCATTTTGTATACGCATTTTACATTTTTCTTTATATAGAAAATTTGTTGGTTGGTTTAGCACCGGCATAGGACACTTGCTTCGTTTTGTTCAATGCTCGTGGCACGCACGTTTACCATTTTTTGTTGAGAGGAGGCTGAGAAGGGAAATGTCTATGGGTAATTTGGAAATGAGTATCAGGAATGCTTTGAAATGTCTAGCCTCCGTTGCCATGTTGAAGTTTAAGGATTGGAGTTGAGTTCGGTGCCCTGTGGCTGGTGCACTTTGACCTCTTCTATCCAATGGCACTGGGAGAGAACTTGGCCATGAATAGAATTATCCTTCGGCAAGGAGGCTTTTGGGGCCAGAGTCTAAATGGCAGCCAATGCTATTTGCTAAATGCATCGCCTTGAATTTGGGAGAAAGACGCGCAGAAAGCAAAGAACATGGGTTGACAATTAGTTCTCCAAGCGATTGGTCTATGTGGGTCATGATTTGTCTTGGGTTTCGTCCACATCTCAAGCTCATCGATTGCAGCAGGATTTGTGATCAGCTTTTGCAAAAATGTTCCACGAAATTTGCAATATCCTGATCACAATTCCCTGCTTCAATCGATCTCTCTAACCGAAAAACGTGCGTTGATGAGTAAAATTTTCGTGTGCGTATTTTGATTTCGTTTTAGCTTAGTTTTTTCTTTTTATATACAAAATGTTGGGGTTTTTTTTATAGATTTCTTGGGATCATATACGTGGGTATATATGAATATATAAATTGTTTGCTGTGCAAATATATATGTATAATGTATATATCGTTTTACAAAAGGTTTTCGTTACTTGTCGTTAGTTTGAATAGTTAGTTCATTCTTTTCATCAATTCTTTCATGTGTTTCATGTGTTTCATGTTCGGCTTGTCGAGTCTGTTCAGTAGGTTATATACAAATTGGTTGTTTTATTAATGCCTCTAGCTATCGAATCGCTATAAAATTACATACAATTACAAAATGTGATACACTACACAAATGTACAAATTTTCCATTCACTTAACTTTTTTGAATATTTCTTACAGGAATTTAGCTTACAAAAGGCATCTTTATACTGTGTCATTTTTGGGTTATTATTATAGTTGGGTTTTTGTTTTCTGTTATTGTTTTTGCTTTAGTTTTTGATCATTTGATTGCACTACTAATCCAATGGCAACTCAACAGCTTTACGTTGGCGGCGGTCCGTGGGGATACGACAACATGGGCTCGAGGCTGCGGGCAAAGGTGTTCGAGAACATACAGGTGTAGTCCTCACCGTGGGGCACCAGAGTGGCCACACCTAAAAGCAGCAGCATGAGCGCCTGAATGGGCAGCGAGGCACGTGCAACGCGCCCGAGGAATCGAGCACCGCGCGCCAGAACCGTGGTATTGATGACATCGCCATCGACAGCATCGCCATCGATGATGCTATGAAATCGAAAAGAAAATCGTTAGTTTTGGGTAAAAATAACACTGAAATAACTATAAAAATCATGCATCTACTGAGGGCAAAACTATGTGCACTTCTCGTTGGAATCTACAAGTGCACAAGTTGCTCAAACGAAAAAATTCAGATTAAAACTACGTTGCATGTGCAAAACACAAACTTAAAACAATTTCTATAGATATTTACTTTGCATTTTCTGTGTTGGGTGCGGCGGCCTGCATAGAAGAGGTTGATAATGTAGTATTATCCAAAAGCTAGATTTGCCACAAAGAAAAAGAAAGAAAAACGAATAAATTATAAATAATACAAATAAAAAGGGGGGTTGTTGTTTTCAAGATTTTCCACATTTTCTCGTTCGACTGCCAATTGGTTTCACTTACTTCTGGTGCGCTCACAAATCAACAAATAAAATCAAATATTCTTGAGGAGGACAATTCTTGTTTCTTTCGAACAGGAAGCACTAGATTACCAAAAAGGACTTTCACTCACCTCACTAGACAGCATATGGAGTGGCACGCCAAGATTGTCGCCCTCGTAACCGAGAACGGCTCCCAGTTTCACAATGTAGATCCCGGATAGACGGCGCAGGGATTGCAGACGCAGCCGGAGATCGGTCAATCTGGAAAGGGTTCTGGAGCATTTAAAACATTTGCATGGGCCCTTGGCGGTGTAAGTTCGGATGAAGGGTTAGAATGGGCGGACGAAAGAATTTTGAGTACCAAAAAATACAACACAAAATAATATACGCAACAAAAACAGCAACACAAAATGTGTGTAGAGGCAAAAACAAATGATCGATCGATACGATTTGGTTTTGTAGTCGAGAAGGTAATGCTAAAATACGTTCTACTATTATAAATAAAACCCAACAAAGGGGGACCTTTAAAATTTAGTTGTAGGAAGTTCCAAAGGCTTACCTATTCTTGCGAATAGTTTTAGTATAATTTTGAAGGAGTGTGTAGGATAATTTTTAGAAAGGATATAATCCGAAAATAATTAGAAGGAGTGTGCACAGTTTGGATATTTTAAAGGTTAAAAAGGCAAGCAAAAAAGGCCGAAATATTTAAGATTTTTGATGGGAAAAAGCACAAAGGTAAATGATAGGAAACTTATATTAAAAAGAGTCTACTACTTTTACTGGGAATAATAATGCAAATCAAAGAGGGAACAACAGTTCTACAGTTTTTAATCAAGTCACACAATTCAAATAAAATACACCAACTAAAATATAGAATTTCAATTGCTTTCCGCCCAACTAACTATATAATCCTCCTGCCATTTAAGAAGTTACTTCTGCTCTATGCTCAAGCGGCACCCACGAATTGTTTCGTTCCGCCCTCGGAACTGGCCCACTGGACACCTTACCTTTCGTAGGTGTGCTGGGACTGCTCCTCGGATCCCTCGACCGAGCGGAGCAGCTGATCGGCGGCATCCTGCAGGCTGACCACGCGCGGTTCGCATCTTTCCAGCTCCGCTCGCAGGTCCTTGAACTTCTTGAACTTGGCCTCCAGAACGGAGCGCTCCTCGGTGAGATCCACAGGCTCGGAAGCCTTGATGTTCTGCTCCGTGCGCTGCAGCCAGTCGACCAACTCGTCGATGGTCTGATGGAACTCGCTGTTGCCCATCAGGGCGGTCTGCAGCAGACCCTGCCATTTGGTGGCATTGATGCACACGTTGTTCCACCGCTCGTTGTCCGCTTCTAAACGAGATCGCAACTGCCTCGCCTTCTCGGTGTCCAGAGTGTGAGTGGCCAAGTGGTCACCCACCACATTCAGGGACGAGATGATCGACTTGTGGCTCTCCAGATCCAAGAGGAACTCGCGATGATCCTGCGTGACGTCCTCGAGGAGCTCGATGTTCGATGGGGGAGTCGATTGGGCCTTCTGGGTGCTCTCGGCGAACTGGAGCCACTGCTCCAAGCGCCACAGATCGTTGTCGATCTGCTGCCAGTTTCGCTGTGTGCAGAGCGGACACGTTAGCCGGCCGACCTCGCTAAAAGTGGTAAAATAATTAATTAATAAAGGGTATGGGTAGGTATGAAATATAAACAAGACTTTCACCAATCCAAATTACACTATTTTCGATTTCATATTGCTAAGAACTTAATCTTTATCAATACAAAATCAGCTTTACTATTATGAAATGATTGGTAATCATTGTTAGCTTAAGCTGGCCTTGCCAAAAGGTTTTTTATTTTAGCTTTAAGCAACTTGAGCTATAGTTCCCGATATCTTGCTTTACTCCACACTGGAGACTGGCAGTTATTGGTGATCCGCTGCCAGCTTTTGTCTAGTGGAAACCCCACACAGAACACAGGATCAGTTGGAGGATTTAAACAGCAGGATATCGGGACTATAGCCCATCTACAGGTAGTTACACTTACTGTATGCAGTTGTACTTGTAGGATGCAGGTAGGTGGCACCTGGTGTGTTTCATCATGAATGCGCAGGTTCGAGTTAAGCATGGGTAAGTTTGTTTTTGGTTTTTTTGGTGTGATTATGCGTGTGCGTGTTTGACATAGAGAGAAGTAGGCAACAGCGAGATGGAAAGCAATAAAACATTGGTTAGTTAAAACAGACCCAAAACACCAACAGAAAAATAATAAGAGGATGCCAAACCATATTACCTTTTTAACAGAATTAAATTAAGTTACTAAATAGGTATGATAATTTTGTTTACGAACACAAGTCATCTGTTATAATATGATAAACTATACAGGATGCCGTTCGTGACTTATAAGTTGATATGGGAGTATTTGAGACACAAATGGGAAGGAAAGTTCTAAGATATGCCACTTTGACTCCAAAATGTTTACATTAAAGAAAAGGGTTTAAGAATAATTTAACTAAATATGAAGTTATTATGAAGAACCATGAGTTAAAAGAATACTCTTGGTTTGGCAATCCCTTTTCATACAAATCCCAATAAACATAGAATATATAATGGATAATAAAATCTTACCTTGCATTTTGATCGTGCTGCTGTCGCGCCTTCCACTGCGACTGCAGGGTATCGAAGCGCAACGTGAGCTCTGCGACGGCTTCCACCTGGGCAGCCTGGCTGTCCGCCTGGCACTCGGTGAGCAGCAGCTGGCTGAGATGCTTCACCAGCTCGGTGGAGGACTGGGCGTTGCCCAGCAGCTTGGCGATCTTCTGGGGACCCGGCTTGCGGGTCTTGTCCACCACGGTGCGCTGCAGCTCGTCCAGATTGTTCTGGCACTCGGCAATGGCCGTTTGGAGTTCCATGATGTAGGCATCCTTGGCGGTGATGGAGGTCACCCTTTGCATCTGTTGCGCCTGACGGAGCTTCCTCTGCGACAGGGTGTTCACCTGGACGGCGGCGTTGGCGGCTTCATTTACAGGCAAGGCGGCAGCAGCTTGAGCTGCTCTGGTTAGCCAACTGGTTTTGAGGGTCACGATGCGGGTTTGGACCGTTTGCCAGAGGGTCGTGTAGGCGGTCACCAGTTCCAGGAGCTGCTTTAGTTGCGGCTGCTGCTTGGTCCTGGTCTTGGCCTCCTGGGCCAAGGTGTCCGCCTGCTGGACATGCTGCTGGGCGTCCTGCAGCTTCTTCTCCAGACTCTCCAGTCGCTGGAGCACCGCCTTGGGCTCCGCCTTCGAGCTCTGCTGATCCTCCGCACTGGGCAGCTGTTCCAGGGCCTTCTGAATGGCATTCAGCGAGTTGGTGGCCTCCAGCTGGGCGTTGTTGAACTCCCGCATGAGCTTGGCGTCCTTGTCGATGGCATCCAGCAGAGCGTGACAACGTGGCGTCAGCTGGCGCCACATGCTCACCATCACCTTCGTGGGAAGTGTTAGCTTCTGGATGTTTTCTGGTTCCACTCCAGCACTCATTGTCAGCTTTGCGTAGATCTGCTCCAGCTGGCGCAGATTCAGCGACTGGCTCTCCAGCTCCTCCAGCTTGGCCCTCAGCTCCTTCTGGCGCTCCTCCAGCTTCAGCTTGCCGTGGGACTTCTGGTCCCGCTCGAAGCCAGTGATCTGGCTCTCCTGCTTGCCCAGCCAGTTCTTGTGCTCGGCCGTCAGCTTGATCAGCTGCTGGAGGAGATTCCAGGTGGAGAGGATGCGGACCTTGCGCTCCGCCGACTGGCTGCACACGTTCTTCCAGCGCTGCTCCAGATTTTGGGCGGAGGCAGCCAGCCCAGAGGTGTTCACCTGCGTTCGCCAGCTGTCCGCATCGTTGAGGAGCATCTCCACGAGATTGAGGACCTCGCCCACATTGCTGCTGTGGTGCTCGATGGAGCGCTGGATCTGCTCGTGCTCCTTCAGCTTGGCCTCGATCACGTTGGGTGTGTAGCTCTCGAAGTTGAGGGGTTTGTCCAGCTGGGACTCCACCTCGAACAGCCAGGCGCGGATCAGGGCGATGCGCTCCTCCAGGCGGAGCAGTGTCATCTTGAGCTCCCCGATCTTGGTGGCCTTCTGCTTGCACAGGTACTTGAGTCGCTGCCAGCGATCGATGAGAGCATCGCTCTGCTGCTGCACCTGCGATCGAACCTCTGGCTCGGAGTAGAGGGTGAGCAGTTCCCTGCTGGTGGAGAGCAGCCACTCGCGTTCCTTGTCCCGCAGCTGAAGCTCCGAGTTGATCTGCTGCTCCAGCTGCTTGGCCGCCTGCTCGGGATTCGTCATGGCCGCCACATCGGCGTCCTTCTCGACGCGCTGCTCCAATCGCTGCAGCCACTGGGAGATGCGATCGTAGCGGATCTGGTAGTTGGACAGCAGGGAGAGCCGCTCCTCGATCGAGTTGATCAGGTTGGCCAGCTGGTAGTCCAGGTCGGCATGTTGCTGCCACAACAGCCAGTTGCGCTGGCGAATGGTCTTCATGTCGTGCGGCGAGATGCACTCCTTGAGCTCCTCCTGGGTGACAGTGAGGCTCTCCAGCGCCGGAATCTGGGCGCCCAGTTGCACCCGCTGCGAGCGCAGTGCTCCCAGGAGACTCTCGATCTCGGCGGGTTGCGTGGGCAGGGATTCGGTGTTCTCATCGAGGAGCTTCTGCGCTGCTCCGAACTCCTGCTGCAACTGGTGCACTCGCTGTTCGTAGGTCTCCGATAGCTGGGTGACGCGCTGCAGGAATCCTTGCCAGGTTTTGAGGGCTGCCCGCAGGTTGCTGATCCTCTGGCCAATGCTGGCCTGCTCCATTCGCATGGCGGTGGCCAAAGCATCGTCGCAGTGGCGGGACAACTCCTGCTGCTGCTCCTGCAAGGCCTTGCTCTGCTGCTCGCCCTGATCTAACTGATTAATCATGGCGTCCAGTCGGTGCTTCAGGTGCGGCACTCGCTTCAGGTGGATGTAGCGCAGCTGGAGGGCATTCCGCTCCGCCTCCCGCTGACGCAGCCAGTCCAAAAGGGCGGCCAACTGCTGGCGATAGGCGTTCCATCCACTCACCCGCCGCTCCAGTTCGCCATTGCGCTGCATGATCCTCGAGAGGGTCTCGTTGTGCAGGTTGGTCAGCGCCTTGTACTGCTCGGATAGCTCCGATTCGAGTGGCGTCTCGGAGAGGACACTCTGCTGCGAAACCAGAAGGTTCTGGTGAATGGCACACAACTGCTGCTGCTCCCTCAGGCTGCTGTAGTCCTCGGGAATGGCGCAAGACAGGAAGGACTGCACGTGCTGCAGGTACTGTCTCCACAATCTCAGCGCCTCCGAACTGTTTTGGCTGCGGGCGAGTCGCGTGGACAGGCGGTGGTACTCCTGGAAGGTGTCCTGGAATATCTTCTGCCACAGGGCCAAAACCTCAAGGACTCCGTCATCATCTCCTCCGCTGACTGAAGGTGCCACTTCATTGTTCTGGTGGCGTTCCTTCAGCTGACGCAGTTGCTCCTCCGTTCGGGCCAAAGTTTGGAGATGGGCACGCAAAGCGGCCAGCTGCTCCTCGCTTTCCTTCGGATTTTGTGGCGGTTCGCGGGAAATGTCCTGTAAGGAAATTAAAATCTATATTTAGTACTTGTTTTTGTTTGGTTTTTTTATAAGATTATTGTATACTGTTTTTGCATTGCTAATAAGTCTGACCCTAATACGGCTGCTCGAATGTCTCCGGTTACCAATCGCCGTCGTCCGTCTGGCTGTCCACTGCATGGCTTCCACAACAATGGCAATTGCAACTCTTTCCGCCAACTGGCAATGACCTCATGCCAGTCGACACGCGCTCTTTCTGGCCAACTTCAATTGTCTGAAGCGTCGATTGGGCGGTGGAGTGGGAGTTGGTTTTTGAGGTGGATGTGGATGTGGCGGGGGAAGTGGAAGGGGGAGGCAACACCAAACTGGTTGGCATGTGCCATGCAAATGAGCCAACAGTGGTGCAAGTTGCCGAGAAAACCCTACCATTAAATGCCCAATTTGGTGAGGCAATTTGTTGCCCAATTAACGACATTCTTATGAGCTTATCAATAAAGTTTATCGCAAACACCATTTTTCAAATTGGTTGTATATTGCCACAGTTTTATGTTCGTAACACATTCTTCTTCCGGTTATTTTATGGAGGATTTGATTTTAGTTTCACAATAGAAATTACTGCACAAAAAATACACTTGCGTGCTTATCAAGTTTTACTTTGTTTATCAAAATGAGGGACGGCAATTTTAAAATTAATTATCTTATAAAAAATTTAACATTTAAGAGAACAAATATACATTTATTTCCCCACAAAACAGTAAATAAATTTGAAATTAAAAACTAGTTACTATTACTACTTTTAAATTCAACAGCACTTAGTTTTGTCAACAGCAAAAAGCGAAAAGAAAACCAAGTGCTGTCAATCGGACAACCATATTGTTATGAAATATATATTAGCATACCGCCTTTGGGCAAGTGTCAATTACGATTTTATAAGTTCTTCGCTGGGCAAGTTCTTCCTTTTACCACTAAAAAGCATATTCACGCCTCTTATCAATCAATAATGATGTTGATGAGGAACTCAGGGGCCTCTTTTATTGGCTTGCCACCCAATGTACACGAAAACAGTTTCAACTTTTAACCCACTTAAAATAGCATGTCCTTCGTATTGGATTAACAACAACACAAACAAAAACAAAAACAATGGCCGGCTAGTCGTGTTTTGCTAGTGTGGGAATTTCCCACACGCCAAAAGCGAACTAACATATGCAAATGCCCATCTATTCAGCGCCACAATCGATAGATGGTTAGGAGTTAACCCATGTTCCATTTCGAGGTGGCTCCATAATTTTATTAATTTTACTAGTCACTTCTTAACTCACCTGCTGAACATTGTTGAAGTAAGCCTTGGCCAGTGTCACCTCCTTGTCGAGCTCCTTGCGCTCCTTGTCCTGCGTTTCGGCCACGTTTGCCAGCGTGGTGATGGCATCCTTGCACTCCGCCAACCTTTGACCCAGTGCATCCAGTTCGCCTTGCATGAGGGCCGAGGCATCCAGGCCCACGTCGGCGGCGATCTTGGCCACAATGTCGCGCAGCTCCAAGATTCTGTCATTCTGGGTCGTCAGGTTGTCTTGGCATACCTGTGTGAACATCGAGATGGAGAGCGAATTAGCTAATGATGCCCAGGGTCTAGATATTCATAACCACCAATTAACAAAGAAACGTGTTTTTCCCACTCCAAATGTTTAAGAAGCTTTACCGAAAAACTACTTCCAAATACGTCATTTTATTCTTTCTTCAAAACTGGAATTCTACATATAGCTAACACTACTAAGCAACTAACTTTTAAAAACTCAAATTCAAAAAAAATATAAAAAGTTCTGTATAAACAACTTTTTTATCTTTTATCATTATCCAATGCTTTGGTAATTTTAAAGACGTCTGAATATCAGTTGCTTAATCTAGAATTCCATTTCGATAATTGTTATATCTTTTTCCCCTATCTAAAAGTTCTTTCTGAATAAAACACAGCCCGAAAGCCGCAGCACAATTATTTTGAATGGCTGGCAAAATGTCACTCGTTTATATTTAACTCGACGAGGGAAAGTATTTAGCTCAAGTCGGTCGGCCGGGATGTACTGGCTGTACTGTGAGTACTGGCGGTACTTGGACCCTTATCAATTGTCGTGCACCGAGTGTCGAGTGCATTTCCCTGCTGCCATCGGCGATGGTAATTGTAATTAGGGCTGCGAGTGCCCGGCGCACTTTCGGTTTCAATTTGAGGGAAACCGAAAAACAGGTCACTTGCCTTCGAATAAATTCCCCAATTTAGAACAGCAACAACATGGCAGGGCATTAGGGCCGTGCAGTCGTAATGTTTGCCCTATGATATCATCTGGCAAGTATTTGCTTCGATGCTTTATCACGGCGCTACATATGTAAGCAAACAAGCGCTTAGAGAAGTGGCATTGAAAATGCCAACCCAAAGTATTAAGAAATAGATATGTTCGCTCTGCTGTTTCCACATTTATCTTCTTTGGGAGCTCAAGGCATTCGCGGACCTGTTCCCGCTGTTTTTTTCTATTTTTGCTGCTGCTGCTGTTGATAAAGCTGCTATGTATACAAAAAAACAACATAATATACCCCACCAGCGGGTTGATAAACTCTCCTGTGTGAAATGACAGTTGGCCTGTCCGAAAATATAATTACAGCAGCGCCGGCCTACAATAATAATGACCCTAATGATCAATAAACACAATACGGCGACCGCAGAGTATGCGTTAATTTTTTAAGTAAATGTCGAAAAAGGAAATCGTACGACGACGTATGTGTTTATTTACCCAAGCATAATTTATGACACAAACACACAGCGGGCCGAGTTGAGTTAGCTCACACACGTCTGGGGGAAACTATTACAAACCGATTATATTGACGCGCCCAAAATTGATAGGGCGCGTACTACGGGGAAAATCAATGTAATTACTAGCTTCTTTGGCCCACCCGCGTCTCTGGTGGGCAATTAAAGCGTCACATTGCTGTCCTAGTTTGCCGGCAAAATAGAATAGTGAGCTCAAGTTTGACCCGTCAGTGACGAATAGTTTTTCGTTACCGGAAGTAATGTTTTGGAATTATTTGAGGAACATACTTAAACTAAAGAATTTGTAAAAAAAAGTGGTTTAATCTTCAGCTTTCTTGAATATATTTTTATCTTGAACTTATATATTTTGTCTTGTTTTCAAAAAAATGTGTCATGTTTTTGGGTATTTGTATGATGTCACTTAATGAGATTGCTTTAATAACAATAAATATTTGAAATAATATCAAATTGCTTTTTGTCTCTAAATATTGACTGACATTCTGTCCCTGTTGTTTGGTCAATTATTGTACTTTCCTGTGCTGTTTCACCTATCTGACAAACAGGTCGTCGGCATCACTGTCGCCCACGCGATACACATCACTCATACGACCCGTTGGACGGGTCACGAAATGGGAAATGAGGAATGGGGAGGCAGCACTCACCTTGGCATGTTGCAGGGCATCCAGCGGCTGCTCCAGGGACTTCACCGTATCCATCTGCTGCTCAATGGAGCTTTTGACGGCCGCTGAGGCGTTCCTGTACTTGTCCCACAGCTCGACGGCTCGTTGGTAGCGGGTTCGCAGCTGCTGCAGATTCTCGCTGGTGTCATTCCAGGCGATTACCGCCTCCTGGACGGCCGACTCGATCTGCTCGACAATTTGGACATCACAGCTCTCGATCAGCGGCTTGGCGGCTCCCTTCAGCTCGTCGATCAGTTGCTCGCGGTTGTGTAGATCGCCAGCGAGTCCCTGCAAGGCGTTTATTTCCGGATTACGTTGGATTAGTCAAAATAAATATGGTACGAGTATATAGGGGGTTCCGACCGCGACCGGAGATACGCGCTCGGTTCGAAGTTAACGTCAACTGCGGCCGCGATAAACTTGCTACGTAAAGAGCTCCACACGCGAAGGGAGCTTACGAAAAAGCTTGGGGAAAAGTTTGCTAGAAGCTATAGCTTTTCGTTCTGCTTGGGGCAGCGGGCAGTATAGAATTCAAACGGAACTTGTCTGAATTATAGATGAGCAGAACTATTGGTTTTTTTTATAATCGATATTAAAAATGTTAATAGTATTTAACAATATAAAGAAAATATGAATTATTAGGTATTATTAAAAAAATTAAAAATGTTCGAAATCTTTTTCCACAAATATTAAGAACAAATACGTTAATATTTAAATATTAAATTAATTTATCCCGAGTTATAATTTTTCGATGTTCCAGTGTTAAAAAAATTTAAAATGTTCGAAATCTTTTTCCACAAATATTAAGAACAAATACATTAATATTTAAATTTTAAATTCATTTATCCCGAGTTATATTTTTTCGATGTTCCAGTTTTAAATGTTCAAATCTGACTAAAGGCTGTAGGGATAAGCGGGCTATTTTTATAGCAAATTTTCCACAGAGGGAAAACCGATGCTGATAAACAGGTCGCGAAAATTCCGCACAGCAGGTAGCTGAAATGTTGACCTTTTTCAGATACAAACCCTAATCGCGCGCGTAAACAAAGTCATAAAATGTTGGGCTGACAACTCACCTCTAATCGTTCGGTGGCCTTGCGAAGGCGCTCGTAGTCCACTTGGCCGTGCACCCGGATGAGTTCCATCATGAAGTCGGTTTCCTGCACGGATCCGTGGACCAACTCCAACTGGCGTTCGTAGCGCAGCCAGACGGCCAGACGATTCCGCAGGATGGCCATGATATTGGTGCACTTGCTCTCGAGGAAGGCGTGATCGTCCTGCAGCTGCGAGATGTCCCGCTCCAGTTTAACCGGCGAAACGGACATTTTGAGTCGCATGGGAAGCGTGTGCAGCATCTGACGGATTCGCATGATCTCCTGCCAGCTGGTCACCAGCTCCTCGCCGGCTCCCTGGCAATCGGCCACGGCTTTTTCGAGTACAGCCGCTCCTTGGCGCTCGGCTGCCTCGCACTCGTCCAGGATGACCGAGATCTTGGCCTGGTGTTTTCGCTGGTTGCTGATTCCCTCCTGAATGGCCTGCAGTTGGTCTCGCAGCACGGAGGCACCTTCCAGCTCCTCGGCGATCTGGGTGCTGATCTTGTGGGAGAGGGCGAAGAGTTCTCCCACTTTTTCCGGCTCGATGGCGGGCTCCTGCAGGCCAATCCTGCCCAGCTCGTTGCCAATGAAGCCCACGCGGGTGCGGAGCACTTGCACTCTCTCGATGTACAGGCAGAGCTCCTCCTCGTTCTTGATCACGCCCTTCATGCTGGTCATGGTCAGGTAGATCTCCTGCAGCTCCCGCTCCACCATCTTGAGCTTCTCATCGGCGGGCACGTCCTCCGAGGACAGGCACTCCACAATGTTGTGCTGGATGAGCTCGATGGCTTGGGAAACGGCCTGCCAGCGATCCTCCAGTTGGGCATGGAACTGCCGTTGGAGCATCTCGTCGGCCAGCGGGATAACCTGCAGGGATTTCTCGAAGCTCAGACCAGTTTCGGTTCGCACATTGTTGTGCAGCTCGAAGCGGGCCTTGATCTCCCAGAATTGGCGCATGTGCTCGATGGGCTGCTCAGTCGGCTGCGATGGGATCTGAATGTGTCGCAGTTCCTGCTCCGCCTCGCGCACAAAGGCCTCCAGCTTGTCCGTTTGCTGTTCGTACTGCACCCAGATCTCCTTGAAGACCAGCAGGCGATGCAGGTACAAAGCCACCTCCTCGCGGAGTTTCAGCAGCACAATCAAAGCCTCGTTGGTTTCCTCGACAAGATTGGGGGCCTGCACCAGGAGTTGCAACTTGTTGGCGATTCCCGAGAGCTGCGTCATCTTCACGTAGTGATGGGAGATGTCGTTGCTCAGGGATTGGTAGAGTGTGGTATACTGATCGTAGTCAGCCGAGGTAACTGCTGATAAGTCGGGCACCCTCTGCTGAGCCACCTGCAACCACTGCAGTTCGTCTCGCATTCCCTTCTCCAAAACAGTCCAACGGGAGGCAGCTTGTACCAACTTGGATGATCTTTCCGAGGCTTTGTCCAGCAAACTGGTTGCCCTGTTGTAGAGCTCCTTGTGCAACTCGGAGTGCTTCTCGCGCGTCTCACTGTCGATGTTCTCCTCGAGGGATTCCAACATGGCGCGGCAATGGCTGAGATTCACAAAGAACTTCCGCTGCTTCTGCACCTCGTTGTTCAGCTGCTCCAGCGAACTGGAGACGATGGGGCTCTCAACTAGTTTGTCGGCCAGAACGGTGATCTTGGTGAACTCCTTGAGCGTCTGCTCGTACTCCTCCGCCAGGGATTGCAGTTGCAGGACTCGCTCTCTTTCAGCCTGAATGTTGTTGCCAATATTCCTGCTCGTTTCGAAGGCATTGTGCACGTCCTGCGGCATCTTCTTGCCGGGGAAATCTCGCTGGAAGGCGCGGGCATTCTGACAGAGCTGCGCCAGTTGCAGCTGCGTCGCCTCGTGTTGCTGCTCCAGTTCATCCAACTGGGCGAGTTTGGCGGACAGCGGGTACTCCTGGTTGACCAGAAGATCGTAGCTCTGCTGCAGCTCGGCCAAATAGGTGGAGACGTTGTACAGCAGCACCTCGAAGCTGTGCCACTTGTCCAGGTCGTTGCTATCCTGCAGCTGGTTCTGCTGAGTCACCTGCTCCACTGCATCCACGTGCTCTTTGAGGGAATCCACGCACTGCAGTAGTTCCGGTTCTGCCTTCGACAACTGTCGCTCCAGTTGGCCAACATTTTGCTTGATGGTGCTGAGTTCCTCGTTGAGTTGGTTGTAGTTATCCAGCTTCTCCTCGGAGGGTCCTTCATTGGAATTCTGTCGGATGAGGTACACGCGATACTCGATGGTTTCCAGCCAAGTGGACACCTTCTCAATGACCGTGATGACTGTGGTTTGAATCACCGTCTTGTCTCCCTTCTTGATGGCAGCATCGAGATCCTGGAGACCCTCGTTCACCTCCAAAACGCGCTGCTCCGTGGGCACATCCTTGATCTGCTCGGATAAAGTGGCCAAGTGGAGCACATTGCTCAGCGGAGTTGCCTGCTGGGGAGATGCCTGCTTGAGGTGCTTGATGCGATCTCCGATGGCTTCCTTGGTGGAAACCAAGATGGGCTGCTGGCTTTGTGGCTGTTGTCCTGGATAATGTTGCAAGCTCTCGCTCATAATCAAAGCCTGCGAGAGTTCAATGGGTGTCTTGTCCACACTCGTGGTGGCACTGAACCAAATGTTGCTGGGTTCGTTGGTCAGGTTATCCGGTCCCGGGGTGATGGGCACCACCAGCTCCTCCGTGGGCGAGGCCACCTCTTCGATGGTCACCGCCGCGGAAGTGGGTCCTGCTCCGGATCTCTTGCTCTGCTGGGAGGCAATGAGCACCTTGTTCTGCTCGGTTATGTGAACCGGCAGATCGGGATACTCATCGTAGACGGTGGTCTTGGTGATCTGGAGTTGCACTCTCTGGGCTTTGGGTTCTTCAGCTTCGATGGGAGTCTCCTCAACTGGTGTTACATGCGGCACTTCTTCAATCTGCTGGTTGGTGGACACCACAATACCCGATTCGGAGAGCAACTCGGGTGCGATTTCAACTGTCACACTGATCTGCGGCTCCTCTGGCAGCTGCTGTGGCTCCTCCACTTCGGGCTCCTTCTTTCCCTTCTTTTTCTTGTCCTTCTTGGACTTCTTGTCCTGTTTGGGCAGCTGCATGGTCTGAGTGTACTCATAAACCGTTGGCTCGGCCGCCGAAGTATCGGAATCAGCGGGAATGGCTACCGTGGTCTTGACCTCCAGTTCGTAGGGTTCCGAAACGGATATTGAAGTGGCTGTCAGGGAATTGTCATCCAGGGAAGCAGGTTCCTGATCTCCACGAGGAGTGGTCTGCATTTCACCATCGGCGACCTGCACAAGTTCCACCGTTGAAGTCTCCTCATGAACAGTCTCCGGTTTGACCAATTCAATTTGTTCACTTGGCTCCGGAGTATTCGTTTGTACATGGGTCTCGGTGGTTGTGGTGGTTTCAGTCACGGTGGATTGCTCGCTGGTTCGCACTGGCAGATCGGTGGTCATGTCTTTGACCAAATCCTGGACCAGAGACTCCACCACATCACTGCTGCCTGGTTCTGGCGCACGAGGCGAATCCTTTGGCGTGGTCTGCAGCTCCTTTTCTATTGTGGTGGTCACAGTGGTTTGGCTGGAAATCTCCACAGTTTCTGCTGGCTGACCACTAACATCCGTTTGGATCTCGGTGGTTGTGATTTCCACTGCCGCCGGTTGCTCTTCGCTTCGGGGAGTAGTTTGTGCTTCAGTCTCCGTAATCTCAACAACCAAAGTTTGCGACTCGTTCTCCTGGTTATCTGGTTGCACTTCCAAGCTCGTCTGCACTGCGGTCTCATCCAATTTGGGTTGATGCTGTGGAGAAGTCTGCACGGACTTAATATCCAGTTCAACTTCGGTTTTTTCTACTGGAGAGGGAACACGCGGAGTGGTCTGCTGCTCCTCATCCTCCACCAAAGCTAACTCCACAACCTCCGTGGGTATGACCAGTTCAACCATTGGTGTTCTTGGCGATTCCGAGGGCGAGGAGACGACGGCATCTTCCACCACCTTGACCTTCGAGTCGATCTCAATGCTGGACAGATCGCTATCGGGACTGATCTCAACAATGGACTCATGGCGGACAGTATCGCGTGGTGAATCCACCGGAGAAACGGGCAGATCTGATTCTACTTCAGGTTCTTTCACGACCACCGCCTCCGGCTCAGTTTCTTGTTCTTGTTCGAGCTCCTCCTCGTGCTTCGTGTCTCTTCTCTTCTTTTTCTTTCGACGCCGCTTGGCGTCGGCGACAGGAGCAGCGGCGGTCTCGATGATGGTCATGCTCACCTTGCCGGTGGTTGGAGCCGCCGTGGAATCGTCCGCGGTGGTGGCTTCCTTGCCCAAGACAACCTTCAGCACGCCAGCGCCGTTGTCCTCCAGCGAGGGAGCGGTGATCTGGAAGGTTTTCTGTGGAGCCGTTGCAGCCGCAGCCTCTCCAGTGATGAAGAGTTGCGTGGCAGCACGCAGATCAATTTGAACTGGAGCTGGTTGTTCTTCAATCTCTTCAGTCTTCTCAACGATCTCAAGGGCAGTCACTTCCGCTGGTTTCGGCTCTTCAGGCTTTGCTTCCTCTACTGGCACTGGTTTCTGTTCCTCAGTCTTAATGGTTGTAATCTCTACAGTCACAGGTTCCTTACTCTCTTCAAGTACAATTTCCGCAGGTTGGGATTGCACAACTTCAACAACTGAAGTTTCAGTCGGCGTGGAAGATTGTTCCTTCAAAGCTGTGGCCAAAGTCTGTTCGGCTTCCAGGAAGCTCTGAATGTCAGTCTTGGTCTTAGATACTGGTGGCTGTGCTTCTTCGGCAGGCAAGTCCTGAATAACCTTTTCCAATTCCGTAGGACTTGTAATGGTGGTTGTAGTCTTGGTGATGGTAATACTTCCGGGTTTAATGGGCTCCGGCTGGACTTCAGCAACAGATTCCGGTTCAGTCTCTTGTGGCTTTGCTTCCTCAGATTTTGTGCTCTCTTCTCGAGGTGATTGTGGCTCGAATTCGTAGTGCTCCAGGGTCAAAGAGTTTCCGGTTTCTGGGCTGGTTGGCCAAATCTCCTCAACTGGCATGGAGGCTTCAGTTTCGACTACGGTTGTTGTTGCTGGTAGTGCCAATTCTTCGACGTGCTGGGAGAAGTCAATGTTGGTGGGTTTCAGGTGGTGTTCCAGTGGCCAAATCTCGTTGATGTCTTCAACCACCGGTTGAACATCTACAATTTCTGGGGAAACTGGAGCTGGAGCTGGGGAGTCTTTGGGTTCAGCTACATCCGCTGCTGTTGGAACATGAACGGGACTGGTAGTGGCAACTTCTACGGGTTGTTCAACATCTACTTGAGGTGCCGGCAACTCTACAGGTGCTTCTTTAGTCGTTTCTGTTGTTGGTTGTTGTGTCTGTTGTTCTGGCTGTTCTTGTTCTTGTGTGGTTGCTGTTGTTGTTGCTGTTCTTGTGGTGGTGGTGACTTGATTAGACTCAATATCAAATACCTGTTGCTGCGGTTCTGCTGCTGCTGTTGGCTTGCACAGATCCGTGGCAACTTCTTCGATGACCACGCCGGGCTCCTGCATCAATCGCTGGAACTCCTCCTCGCTAACCACCTTGCCATCGACGGTTCGCACAATGTTCACATTGATGTGCGGGGCGGTCTCCTCCTCGGTGATCTCCACCTCCTCGGGTTCCTCGACCACCTCCTCGGTGATGTGTTCCTTTCCATCGATGATCACCACGCGCTTAATAATCTTTCGCGTCTTTCGGATCACTTTCCGGGTCACCTGCTGGACTACAGCTCGAATGGTTCCCTGGGTCTGCACGTCGCCGGGCTGCGAGGGAATCAGTTGCGCCTGGGTTGATCCAGGGGCAATCACCTCTTCGTACGTCTCAATGGTCGGCTCGGTTTCGAACTCCTGGAGGATGACACCCTCGGGCTGTGACGAATCCACGACTGCTCCACGCGTTTGCTGCGTAATCACAGTGTGGACACTGCCCTCTTGCGGATCGGCCTTGGTGTCCGTGGTGTGGACATTCTCCAGGTTTATCTGACCCGTGGAGTGCACCTCAATGTTCCCGTCCGAGTCGCTGATCGTCTCAATCGAGCTGATCTGCTGCTGTTGCACAATCTGCTGCCGCGTTCGGGTGACTTTCTTGAGCACAATGTGCTTGGTGCCATCGGGACCCACAATCACTTCGGTGGTCGTCTCATCGGGCTCCACGAAAGTGGTTTCGAATGCCTGGGGGACATTCTTCAGGATCAGTTCGGTGGCGCGGTCCACATCGCCCTGAGGGCGTTGGTGATAGCGAGCCTCGATCTGCACATCCTCGGGCTCGTCGGGCACATCCTTGTTGCGAGTAGTGTCGATCTGGATGGTCTCCTGGCCGTGCTGCACCGTCTGGGTGACCATGATGTTCTCGGTGGGTGAACGCTCCTTCTGTGTTTGCAGCGCCACCTCGGCGGTCTCAACAGCCGGCTCCTGGAAACTGGTCTGCGCCTCCACAGTCGTGGTGGTAACCACTTGAACCGGCGGCTGTTGCAGGCTCAGCGAAGTCTGTGTCTCCACATAAACTCCAGTTGGCTTGATCTCCTCCTCGGGCATGGAACTCGAGTCGATGGTGTTCTCATTGGACTCGATGGACTCGTGGGCCTCTGGACTGGCTGGAATTTCTGTTGGGGGCTTGATTAAGGAGTCGGCCAGAACACGTTGGCGTTGCGCCTCCTCGCTCTTGGACTTCCGCAAGTCCACAATGCGCTTCTCGATGGTGAAGATGCGCTTGGTAGCCACGGTTACCTGTTCCCGCAGAATGGTTATGATGCTCTGCAGCTGCTCCATCAGCGTGTCGGCCAGGGGAGCCACATCGGAGTGGGACTGCAGCTGGCGCGTCTGCTCCACCAGATCCTCCATGGACTGCTGGCGATCCTTGAGCGTACGCAGCAACTGCTGGCTCCTCTCCACCTGCGACTTGAGCACTTGCTCATCGGTGCTGCTCTCCGAGGTGGGCTCAAAGGAAGCCAGCTCGGCGGAAACCTCGATGATCCAGCGCTCCAGTTCCAGCAGATGCTGCTGGTACTCGTCGATCTCCTGCTGCCGCTTCTTCTGGCCATGCATAGCATTCTAGATTGGGTAATAGAAATGTAAATATATAGGATTGATATAGGAGAGATATAAATCTAAAGGACTAACCGCTATCATGGTGATGCCTTGCTGAGTACGGCGGAGTAGCAAATCAATGCGATCCACGGTATCGTTGAGCAAACGTTCGGTCGCCGGATCCGTGGGCAGTTTCTTTGCCTGGGCCTTCAAATCGATGGCGTCCCTTTCGTGTACTTCGAGATTGCTTTGGATTAGCTGTACATCGGACGGGTAAAATTAAGAATTCAGACATGTGTTTTTCGCAAATGTTCGGTACAAAGATCAAAGATCATATTATACGTGTTTAAGGGCCTACAAAACGTAATATTTGGACAACAAAAGGAACGACTACTACAGCTGGACAACACTAACAACTGAACAACTGAAAGGTATTCTGTTCGAACAAAAATAGCCTGACAAAAAATGTACGATCATATATGGAGTGATGCGATTGAGTTGTTAAATTTCTCTGTCACACGACAGCATCCAATAATCGTTTACAAAAGTTATGTACAGGGGGTGAGTATATTTTAATTCAGAATTAATCTAGCTACGTTGAAAACATGCCGAGGCAAGCATCCAGAAGTGGTGTTATTCGGGCCTTAGAACTAAATTATTATTATCATTACCTTCAGTCCATTTAGCATGCCCTCCAGGCTGCTCTGGTTCATATTTGCGATGCCATCCTCGACGCTCGAGAGCGATTGGAGCAGTTCGTCGAGTTCTTGCGTAATTAGTTCCTATAGTTTTTGAAATTGTGTCGCATGTGTGCGATGTTGGTTTTTGTTGTTGTTGGGAAGATGGTGTAGAAAGTGTGTTAATATTAATAAAGATTGCAAACTTTGGACGATTATTGCTAAGGAACGAAATTGATGTAAATATTTGTGGCCGGCTTCTATACACATACAACATATGTACATGGAGTAGAATAATTATAAATAGGTATTTATAAAATGCAAATGGATGCAATACACAGCCATACAACAGTATGAAGTCTTTTTTCTTAGGGAAAGCTAATAAATGCTTTAAAAAATAACGCTAGCTCTTAAGACTTAACTTCTTTTAACGTATGTAACACATGCATTTGGCATAAATCTTAGTTTAGATGGCGGCATTTTATGGGAAGACAGCGGATAGACAAAAGTACCAAAATATGCGTTTTCTTTCTGCTATCAGTTTTTATGTAGAGTTGGAAAGTTATATGCGATGCTTGAGTGGAAATTAAACTTACTTTCTTTCTATTTTTACAAGCTTATAGAATCCTTTTACGATAAAAATACTGTTTTCAGATCTTTTCATATCTATTCTTTTCGGGCTACACAGCTACACACATTGGCACTAACAAACGTTTGGATTCTTGAAATGCTTCTTCGCTTTTCGCAGTCAAACTCAACACGTTCATTGCACATTGCAGACTAAAAATTGTAAAATAAACGGGAGACTATTTTCGAGCAAGTAAGACGGCCTGCACCGCATGGATCGCATCGGATCGGATCGGATCGGGTATTTATAGCTATATGGCAGGGAAGAATATGCTCTGCGCGCAAATTCTTGATAGCAGGGCGGTGGGCAAGGCAATGAACTCATATATAGTATATATATCTATAAGTGCGCTACACAAAATGGACATTTTCTGCATTTGGGAACGGGAACTCGGTAATTGCGTGCGCACACACTTTTGTGCGGCACTGTGCGCGGCAGGAAGAGTGCTCGATATGCGTGATCGTGTGTGCTTGTGTGTTTGTGCTCTGGTGTGCGAAAAATCTGCGAAGAGAACTACATATTCGCTGGGGGATATAAGTCAGCTCGGTATTAAAACGTGCAAGTCGGTTAATATAGATTTTATTATTATCACTACCATTAGTAGTATATCTGATTACTGGGCTTTTACAAAGGTTAATATCAATTAGTAGAAGGAACTAGAATACATCAAATCTACATAATTCATTACGTCTAAGTTAGGTGCTTTCATAACGATATAGTAACTTGTTCTTTTTTAGGTATATAAACTCAAAACATAAGCCTGTTGGATGCGTTTAGCAAAACAACACATACAATACAGAAAATAATAAAAATGAAAAACTTAAATAAAAACATAAAAAATCAAACATGTCTTTCGATAACTAAATTACGTTAGTAGTTTGGCAGCTTCGCTTGCCATTGTGCCACAGGTCCAGACCAACTTTACGGCGGGCAACTTCCCGGATCTGTTGCTGCTGGCAGAGTGTTGCCGCAGCAACACGAGTTGGCCGGAACCTGGCCACAACAGCAACACGAACGGTTGCCGTATAAAAGCCATGAACAAATACCGAAACCACACAGAAAAGCTGCAAAAATTAGAATTATGAATAAACGAAGGCTCAATGTGATGTTCACCTTCTGGCGTTGCAGTTGCAGATCGTTGCTGCTAGTGGTTGTTGTCGTTGTTGTTGTTGTCGATGGCGTTTCAATTGTGGTTGTTGTTGTAACGGTTGTGGTTGTTGTTGTAGTGCGCTTTATCACACCCTCACTTTCGGTGGTGGTGGGCAAAGGCTCCGCCTCTTCGCTGCTGCTCGATGTTGTCGTTGTCGTTTCGGTGTGCGTTGCTGGTGTTGCTGCTGTTGGTTTTGCTGGTGTTGCTGTTGCAACCACAGGTTCTACAGCAGAAACTTCTGCTGCTGCTGCTGTTGTTGTTGTCTCTGGTGTTGCGGGTGTTGGCTCCTTTGGTGTGGTGGCCGTTAGCTTATCGACTACGGCCGTTGCGACCGGCAGAAGAGCGTTGGTTGCCACCAGCGCTGCTGCTTGTGTTGCTGTTGCTGCTGCGTTCGCCTTGGCGGCCAGCGTGTGAGTTGTGGCGCTTGCCAATTGGATTAGTGCGTTTGCAACGTTAAGGGGACTGGTAGTACTGGGGCTTGTTTCAGGGGCAGACTCGGTTGGGGGTTGGGGTTCGGGGCTTGTGGTTTTAGTTTCGGTTAGTACAGATTCAACAGCCGATACAATGGGTGCTGCTGCTGATTCACTTTCTACTTTCACCTGAGGCTGTTCGGCTTCTAGAGCCAGATAAGTACTGTCGTCCCGCCAATGACCCACTCCGCCCGGCAGATCCGTGGACCTGTACTCCGACGAGCAGCTACGGTTCTGACCGTACTGGGCATCGTGCTCGGGCGTGGGGGTCACATTACCACTACTACCGCTACCAGGATCCTTGTCGTTCGGTTTATCATCGTCGTCGTTTGGCTTGCGAATTTCAGGCACAGTCGGCTTATCCCCCTCATCGTCATCGTCGTCGTCGTCGTCATCGTCGCTGTCATGATCGTCCTTGTCTGGCTTTCCAGTTACCCCATCGGGTTGCTCTGGTTTCTTGTCTTTGTCGAGTTCCGCTTCGTCACTGGCGGCATCATCACGTTTCAGTCTGTCGAACAAGTTGTCGGCCAATTCTGCATCGACACTGGCTGAATGCCAATCGTCCAGATGCAGATTCAGACGCAACTGATCGAGGTTGCCAACCGGTGGTGCGGCCAGTGGTTCGGCGGTAGGAATGATTGGTAAGGACGATGCTTCTGGTTCAGTCTTTTCTACAACGCGATCCGTAATCGTGGTCGTGGTTGTCACTACAGTTTCTGTAATGCTGTCAGTCTTTTGCTTATCGTCTTGAGTTTCCTGAGCTTTCGTCTCGTCTGTGGTTGTCCTCGGCAGCAATGCGAATGCCTCGCCCGCCGTTTGTCTATAGTGAGTGATAAGTTTGAGGAAATCGTCTTGGCTGAGGTTCCAGAGCAGTTCACTGGGTTTGGTCGGGGGCTGGGTTTGTTCAGGGGCAACGAGCTCAGTAGTTAAGAGTTCAGCAGAAGGTTCTACAATGGAGCTTTCCTCAAGAGTTTCTACGACCTCGGGTTCTACCTTTACAGGCTCTGTTTCTACAATAACCTCTACAGGTTTTTCGATTGTGAGCAAATGGCTAATTGTGTCAACATCTATACGAGTTTTGGGCAATATATTGGTCTGGTCAAGGTACAGATTGAAAGCAAGGATTTCAGAATTAATTTGGGGTATCGCTTCGGGTTCAATTATCACATAATCCTCTATTGAGGCAACTTCTTCTTTGGGTTCAACTGAAGTTTTCTCCTCGGGTAAGCTTACCACCTGCAATTGCTGATATTGTCCCTGCAACAAGTCGTACTGAGGATGCAATTTGTATCCTTCAAGATGCAGATTTTCCAAGAGGTTTTCAGGTTCATTCACTACTGAAACTATTTCAGTTTCCGTTGGTACTGCTGGTTCTGCTTCCAAAGCCAAATCATTGATATGGCTGGTTACCACTGTGGACACATAAGACTTAGTTTGGTTCTCATCCTCCAAAACTGGAGCATCCTTATGTGTGGTCACTGTTGTTGTCACATAGGTTGTTGTCGTGGTTGTTGTCTTTTCCGTATCTACCAAATCATCCAGAGTCTTGGGCTCCTGGAAGTCGGTTGTTTTGCTCACTACCACAGTGGACCAATCAGGCTTCTTTTCATCGGCTTCCTTTTCTTCTGGTGCCGGGAAGATAGTCGTCTCGGTTTGCACAATTGCTGACCATGTTGTTGGCTGATCAATGGGTGATTTCACCGGAACCTCCTCAATAACCTCATCGCTGGCAACTGTTACTGTGAGCGGTTGGATTTCTTCTGTTTTTGTCTCAATTGTCTCAACTGTTGTTGTTGTTGTCGGTTTTTGACCCGGCTTTAGCGTTGCCGACCAGTATGATGTTTCACAAATGAAGGCATCGTTTGCATTGGGAGTGGTTGGAGTATCTGGAATAGCTTCGAACGGTGCCAAAGGAGTTTTCTCGGGTTTCACTTCCGCAGTTTCCACAATCTCGACTGTTTTCTCGGGTTCCTCAGGAACAGAAGCCTCAACGGAGGATTTAGTGGTAACATTTGTGGTTGTAATTGTTGTCACCGTTTTAGTTTCATCCACAGTCGAAGGCTCAACAATCGGTTCGGATTTGATAACTTCTTCCGAAACTGTGACTTCCTTTTGTGGCTCAGGAACTGGTTCTTCTTCATCATCGGAGAAGTTCATTGGCTCATCCAAAACATCCATCCACGAGCTGGAAGATTCATCCACAGGCAGACCGGCATACGCTGGTTTCTTTGGCTCTTCCGGTTTCACTTCCACAGTTTCCACAATCTCGACCGTTTTCTTGGGTTCCTCAGGAACAGAAGTCTCGCTGGTGGACTCAGTAGTTACAGTTGTGGTTGTGATAGTTGTCACTGTCTTAGTTTCATCCACAGTCGAAGCCTCAACGATATTTTCGGATGGCTTCTGAATCACATCTACGGTTTCCACAACGACATTTTCAAAGGGTGCCAGAGGAGTGCTGATTTCTGGTTTGTCTTGCACTTGAGACGGTGTAACAGTCTCAATGATAGTTTCAACCCTAACGACGTCTGTATCGTCTGTATCCTTTTCATCCTTGAATGGCGCCAAAGGTGTTGTTTCTTTGCTTTCCTCATCATCGGAGAAGTTCATTGGTTCATCCAAAACATCCATCCAAGAACTGGAAGACTCATCTACGGGCAGTCCGGCATACGCTGGTTTCTTTGGCTCTTCAGGTACCTTTTCCACAGTTTCCACAATCTCGACCGTTTTCCTTGGTTCCTCAGGAACAGAAGTTTCGCTGGTGGACTCAGTGGTGACAGTTGTGGTTGTGATAGTTGTCACCGTCTTAGTTTCATCCACAGTCGAAGACTCAATAATCGGTTCGGATTTGATAACTTCT